TAGCAGCGACGGCGCGCAGCGCCTGGAGCCAGTACACGCAGCGTCCGGAGCCGGCGCACGTAGCGCCTGGAGAAGGGGCGCTCAACGCTTAGAGCCAGCAGTTGCAGCGCCCAAAGGTAGCGCCGGCAGTAGGTGCACTCGGCGCCTGGAGTGAGTAGTAGTAGTGCCCGGAGTAGTGTGGCCCCCGCGCTTGTAGTAGACTCGAAGCGACTTCCGAGGTAGATGGAGGCTTGTAGGATTCCGGAGTGGCGCGGCCCGAGTTTGAAGAAGGCTTCGCCGAAGACTTCACGTGTAAATGGAGGCTTGCAGGATCCCGGGGCAGTGCGGCCCCGGGATAAGGCCTTTAGGAGATACTTCCAATTCGCGAACTGAAGCGAGACTGCCTTTCTTCACCGATTGTTCGGCTTTTATACCTTTCTAGAGAGAACGGAAAAATTATTTAAATTATACGCAAATTTTTTGTAAATGGTCAAGAGAAAAGAGGATTTATGTGGAATTATCGAAATAGGAATAACAGATCGGTAGCAAATTTGAATATAATTACCATGGAAACGATATAAATAAGAAAGACAAAATATGTCAAATTTTTGTTTTTGGTTTATAATAAGAAAACGGTAAGATTTAAGTGGAAAATGAGATATTATTGATATAGGAAAAAAGGTAGCGCAACTGCCCACACAAAGTCCAAGATTGTAGAGTTACGGAAAACTAGCTAAAAGATCGAAAAAAGGTAGACTCCATTGACACCAATTTAAAAGTGCTGATAATGTGAAAATACGAAGTAGAAATGATTTGTTATTGTGTTCTTATGGTTTAAAATCGTTACAGGATCCTATGGAAATAAAGGTGATGTAAAATATCCAGTTTTGAGGTGAATGCAGAAAATCGAAACAGAATGGAAAAATGAATTTAAAATAATGTAAAATGATACGTGAGTAGCATAACACTACAGCTTCGGCAAGATCTTCAGGTTTCTGTCGCATAACTAGAGGCCAGTTTTCGAAACTAAGCAAACGGCTAGATTTTGAACTGAAGAATGGATATTCAGCTCTTGAGTACTGCATACTCTTCTCGTTTTCTTCTCCACTCAGTGTTGTAGTTTTGTTATTCAATGATGTGTTTTGTACACGTATGCCACACTCATCTCTTCCTTCCGCTCTTGTCTTCCTGTAATTGAAGTAAACAGAATCACATTCACTAATGATCAGCTAATGACTGTCATTGTTAAAAAAGTATTTTTTAACTTTTTCACTTTCTGCTATTGTCTTTGTTATATTGTATACGAGGGCGTTTGTATTGTCGTAGATGCTATCCTTATTAGTCTTTACGTAATATTTAATTCTCGTGGAAGCATGTTTCCAATGATCAGTAGTTGGAATCTTGGATAGCTTCTTCATATCGTACATTTCAATTTTGATGAGATGCGTCGCTTGGTCTCCGTCGTCAGAATTAGTAGAAATGTATGATACACCATCTCTAGCGGCTCGTGCTACGGTTGATGATAACAGCTTCCTCTTTTTTATTTTTGATTCAGCTTCAAAAAAATGATCAATCGATTGCGATTTTCTTTTTCCACCATCGCATGTGTTATTATTAATGAGGAGGTTATCACTCTCTTCTTGAGGGGAGAGTGGCGAGTAGTAATACTGTTTATAGGTATCTTCATCGAAGCTCAATGATTTCTGCAACAACACAGTTATCATGTTAATATCAATTTGTTAACACTTAATCATAAAAGTTAAAAAAGTTAAAGTTACAGCCTATTAAAGTCCACTGCTGAACATAGGCCTCCTCTCATTTCTGAGAGGGTTTTAGAGCAAGGAAATGTCCGCCGCGCTCCCTCAATGTGTGTTGGTGAACTTCACATGCCTTCGAAATTTTCTCAGACATGCAGGTTTCCTCACGATGTTTTCCTTCACCACCAAGCACGTGGTAATAAGTACTTAAAATTGCTATTAACAATTTAATTGGTGCTGGCGGGGATCGAACCCGGGTCGCGTACTGTGAAATTTACAGCTAGCGCTAACCATCTGAGTTACCACGGCTTAATCATATACATACACAATATTTAAATAAAATAATACACACACACATGAAAATAACAGAAAAAAAGTAATTTAGTCAATAGAATAAACACTTACATCCATAGCCTTTGGTGTATTGAAGTAACACAACTGTACTATTGATAGATCCACTGTAGCCAAACGACCGTACACTAACTCGATGACTGCGTTTGTTGGTCTTATATACCACCAGTACGTAAAAATTCTAATCTAAAGTATTTCCGTAATGAGTTGATAATTACTTTATGCGTCAACCAGTTTATCTCACATTTCCGTTGCCTATCTCAACATTTCTTCGTATTGTGTTTTGTTTGGTGATCAATGACTCAAGTACGATTTGTATAACACAAAAATGCAATTTAATATTTAGAAACATATCAGTTTATCTCACATTTCCGTTGCCTATCTCAACATTTCTTCGTATTGTGTTTTGTTTGGTGATCAATGACTCAAGTACGATTTGTATATCACAAAAATGCAATTTAATATGTAGAAATCACTATAATTGACCATTCCTATGTTATTCATTGAGTAGCTAGGTACTGTAATAATCTACTAATAGCAGTAATATCATGGATACACTAGATGTACAACAACATCTGAAAAAGATTCACCCCAGTCTAGAAAATAATGTTTATGCAGCTAATAGACTGCCTATGTATACCCACGTACCAACGTATATAATATGTAATTTGGATACAGATGATAAACCAGGGTCACATTGGGTAGCTTTATATATCGATACGAATGACGTCGGTCAATATTTTGATTCATATGGACGATCACCTGTACGATATCATCTAGAGTTTTTAAAAAGGAATTGTAAAAGATGGAACTGGAATGTTGATAGGATTCAGAATGAGTGGACTTCAGTTTGTGGCAAATATTGCTTAATGTATTTACTATATAAGTTTCAAGGATGTTCAATACATAGTTTTACGAGTATATTTACAAGGAACACATTGTACAACGATATTTTAGTGGATGAGATGTTTCGCTCCTATTTTATAGATAATAATTAATAAGATTTTGTATTTTATAAATAAAAATTGTAACAAAATTATGTAATGTGTTTTATTGATGATTCAGATTAGCGTTGTATAAACAAAGAATTATAATAAACAATAGCACTGATATAGTCGACGCACACGCTGCAATGAGGGTGATTAATGAACAATAGAACAATAGAAATAGGAACAATGGGACGCTAATGACGGTGGAGGCCCTTACCGGATATCAATTAGATATTAGCTAATTGATCTACACATCTCCGGAACCGTGCATTCTACACAAAAATGGACCGCGGATTCGTGATCAGAGCATGCCATAACCTTTTTTTTTTTTAGGATCGGGCGTCGACGAACGTCGTTGAACCACGTCTGACTCAGGTGGTCTAGAAGTGGTACAACTACACTACTCGCGAAGTTACTGTAGTGTTCCGTTAACGGAGTTTTGCTTTTTATAATATTTGAAATGCAAACAAACGTTCAACAAGGGTACAATGATGAATACGTGCTTCTGAAAAAGAGCTTCTTTGAGGGAGCACTTTTTTATAGAATCAGAGTGACAAACGCGCCCATTCCACCTGATGGTAAGTATGTAGTTTGTAGCCCATAGATATCTACATCAATCTTCGATAAATAATCAAAATGCAAATGCGTTGTCACCCGTGAGGACTAAGATGGAATGCCTCTTTTCCAGTAAAAAGGGTCTCCGGCTCTCTCTTTCACCATACAGAACACCAGTATTGAGCTGCTATTTTACGCTGGATATTCTGTTAGAGTGCGGTCCTTCCCCGTTTTTAAGCCGGTCCATGTACTATAACTATACAATATATAATATAGCTGCATCATGGCTCTACTACTTTACTACCTTGGCACTTGCCGTTACTTACTCAAAGTAATGCTTACGTTTTGGTAATATCTGATGTAGGTTAGGAGTTAGTGTTAGAGACATGTGAACAGTTTTAATCAATACAACCAGTTTCGAAAAACCAACATAGTCTTTTTGTGGAATGGATCCTTCAATCCCAGGAGTTACAGTCTAGCAGCCGGGTACTTAAGTTAACTTAGGTTATAGCAGTAGACGTACTGTGCTCATGTATCAAATAAAGTAGATCGTCTGACCGGCGAATTACCATGCTTTTTTATGTGGTAGAGCCATGCTGCAGCTATATTACTGGTATAGTTTTAGCACGCATGGGTCGGCTCGACCGGGTAAGGACCACGCTCTCACAGAAGACCAGCGTAAAATAGCAGCTTAATGCTGCTGTTTTTCGTATGGTGAGTGTAGAGAACCGGAGTCTCCTTTTACAGGATTCCATCTTATTCCTCACGGTTGACAACGCATCTGCATTTTGATACGTAATCGAGGATAGATGTAGATGTCTATGGGCCACAGCAACCACTTATCATTAGGTGGACTGTGTGATCGTTTGGCAACCTTATCCTTTAAAAAAATGCTCTCGATAAGTACCGGCGTAAAGTTGCAGCATATGCTGTTCTGCGTCATATGGTGACGACAACCGCGTATCCTCTTTATATCAATGAGGCTACGTCTTAGTTCTTAGAAGTGGCAACGTTTCTGTTTTTTGATGATTGAAGGAATTAGGTGTCTATAGGCAAATGTGTCTACTCTTGCCCCGATGACACCACACCAGGCTGAATACCCTTTAAATGGTTCCCTTGATATGAATGATTACGCAACCTTGCTACCTCCAGATACTCCAAATTTGAGCTTGCCGTCGCCGTACTCAAGAACCCCTTACGTTCTTTCCCGTGTAAACATCACGTGAAGCCTTTAGATGCTGCAAGCCAGTCTAGCTCTATATGGTTGATTGCAGCATTGAAATCAAGTTTCCTGTTCCATTAAGGTACAGTTTCGGAGCCACATATTTGGTTGCCCAATGTTTTTTTTAACTTGATTATAAAAATGCAGCTTCATCAAGCTGGCCGACTACATGACGAACTACATGCTGCACGGGCTGACGCAGCGTTCGAACGCGATGATGGCGGGCCTGCTGCGGACCCACGCTGCCTTCACTCCTGGTCCTGAGCTGCTGGGAGGCACGGTCTACGACGAGGTTCTCGAAGTGCTGCCCAGACCCACCGACACTTGCAAGGTGCAGCACCAACCTTGACATCAGCTTTCCTAAGCCAGTAGGGTAAATAAAAGTCAGATGATGTCCCTAGTGATTCATAGAGAAAAGGGGTGCTTTAAGATCCATTTGCATTTTAGGGTAACTTATGCACGTATATATAATAAGGTAATTAAGTAATTTTAACAGCAGTAAGTACATCTATATATATATATATATATATATATATATATATATATATATATATATATATATCATATTTTACAGGTCAATTTTAGAGTTAGGTATTTGAAAATTTTATAATGCACTTTTATGTAAACTGATGATATACCAAAAGATAATTTTGAAAGTGTTTTTTTTTTATAGAAGTGGGGGCGGAATATTCTATAAAAGTGGACTATATTATTTCTTCAGTATTATTTTTTAGACAACGTGCCTTAACATGCCGTTCTTTTACCAATAATTATGAACTTTTAATATAATATAACTATATTTCAAATATATGTTATTTATTTATTAAACATTTACCAATATAAATAACTTTTTAGTATATTTCTGTTTAGACAAATAGTCCGACTAGGTAAGTCCAACTTCGACCGAGAGGTCAATCGACGGATTCAACTCGGCTGGACAGCGTTCGGGAGATTACGTCACATTTTCTCGTCAGGCATACCTCAAAATCTCAAAACTATATTGTACAACTAGTGTGTGTTGTCAGTGATGACCTATGGATCTGAGACATGGTCCTTCACTGCTGGCCATATGAGGAAGCTCAAAGTCGCTCAGCGAGCTATGGAGAAGGCTAGGCTCCACCTTCCTCTGCGTAATAGACTTAAAAACAAGGATATCCGTAGTAGAACCAGAGTAATCGACATAGCCCAAAGGATTTGTAAGCTGAAGTGGCAATGGACTGGCCATATTTTATACGTGGTAGAGCCATGCTGCCATGCTGCTTAGTAATACAACTATACAGTTGTAGCACGAACGGGTCGGCTCTAACGGGGAAGGACCACGTTTTCAGAGAATATCAATGTAAAATGGCAGCTTGACACTATTGTGTTTCGTATGGTGAGTTTAGAGAACCGGAGACCCATTTTACTGGAAAAGAAGCATTCTATCTTAGTCTTAACGGGTGACGACGCATCTGCATTTTGATTCTTTACTGTGCATAAATGTAGATGTCTATAGGTCACAGCAACTTCTTACCATCAGGTGGACTGTATGCTCGTTTGTCACCTTACCCTATAAAAAAAGGTTCTCGAATAGCAGCCTCGTACTGGCAGGCGAAGTGTAGGGCGTCTCCCCACTAGATGGAGTGACGACCTGGTGAGCCATGCAGGAAGTCAATGGATGCGGATGGCTCGGGACCGTGCTTTGTGGCATTCCTTGGGCGAGGTCTATGTTCAGCAGTGGACTGGTGAAGGGCTGTACTGATGATGATTAAATCTCTATACCTACCTATGAAAAAAAAAACGTTGAAAGTGCAATAAACCGGTTATTAAATTTTATTTTAGTGGGCGTTGTTTCAAGTGGACGCCTACGTTTTACCGAATGGAGAGGTGGAATTGAACCCCAGCGAAAAGGTGATATCGGAATACATCGAGAAAATCACCAATTACTGGGACGAGCACGTGCGCACCTTCCACAACTTCCTCAACGACGAGTCGCTGCAGATCTTCGTACAGCCCACCATCATGGGCAAGCAAGTGGAGTGGTCCGCCGGCACGTCACCCAACCTGTACTTCCTCATGAACCAGGACAAAGAGATGCTGGAAGACATAACCTACATACCGAACGCTATCAAACAAGCTTTCGAATGTACGGCTTTATTCCTCCAGAGGATGAATTCCTTCATGATTGACTTTAAAGAAGCTAACGAGATGGATGTGGAACAGATTAGAAAGGAGAGAGATGTGGTCGCTTTCAAAACGCTCTGCGATAATTTAGTGAAGCAGATGGATTCGATCGAGGAGGTAGTGAGCTTCCAGCCTCTCGGGATCATTTTCCTCAACCTCAGCCCCTTCCAGGAGCTGTTCCGACCGCAGCCGAGGCGGCTTTTCGATGTGGTGCAGAATACGACTCCGGAGTAAGTGCTATTTGTTTAAAAGCATTATTTGGAAAATGTTAATATTTATGATTGTTCTAAATGGCAGGGTAAGAAATTGCTTGATAAGAGAAATGTAGTTTGCAAGGTGATATTGTGACCAGGATTAAGAAAGGAATAATTCATTGGTTTGATCAGGTAGAAAAATTGATGACAGAGTAACAAAGGAAATTTATGTAGGAGAAGTGAACGTCAGAGTCGGCAAGGGACGTCCTAGACGAAAGTTATTTATTTATTTATGCACACACAACAATACACAGAAACAGACTAATAGTGAGTTTGTACAAAGGTTCTACTTATGCCATAATTAGCTGAAATTTCTTCCAGTAGACCCACAAAGGAAAATATGTTAAAAAGGAAACCTAGTGCGTACAATACTAATACTACTATAAATAATATGCAAAATGTTACGTAAATTATATTAAATGATACTACAGGGTTACTGGGAACCTTGGAGTAATTGGGGAGTCAAAATACTACAAATTTGACACCCTTAAGTATAGCGGGAAATGAACAGGTCTTGAGATATACGGATTTTTAAGATTTTTCTGACTTTTTCGAAAATCTTTAAAATCCGTATATCCCAAGACCTGTTCATTCTCGGCGATTCATATGGGGAGTCTAATTTGTAGCATTTTGACTCCCTTATCACGCCCTGCCAGGAAGTTGTCGAGTTTCCAGTAAGCCTGTATAAATAAAAATAAAATAATACAATAAATAAAAATAATACATACAATAGCTACATATAATAAATATAAACCAATACTAATGTAATAAAATAATATATATATATTAATTTAATTAACACGATGCAAAGAAATTATCTCTAACACGTTTTTATATACCAATAAAGTTTCGAAATTTCTTATATTAGGCGGTAGTGAGCTAGTGAGTTCCACAACCTAACCGCGTGGCCAGAAAAGGAGTAGGAAGGAGTAAAAACCGGCATTATGGACGGGAAAGTTAAGAGTTTTAACAAGAGATCTGCATGGTTTTTAAGAGACGCTTTTTCGTTTTATCGAGTATCAAATGACAACGATTCTAAAGAACTTTTCACTTTGAAAACCCGCGGCGCATGTATAGGGTTACACGGTCTTTATTGTTACATTAATTGAACAGCATAGGGCGATGGTGCATCGACGAGATTCTAGAGGGCATAGAGAGCATCTCTTTGGATATTGGTCGCGAACCAGAGTCTGCGGGCGAGGTGGTGGCCTACAACAGTCTGCTGGACGGCCTGGAGGGCCGTGTGGCCACGCTGGAGGAGCGCCTGGAGTACCTGCGGGAACTTTACGACCTCATGGCGGAGTTCAATATTCCCGTACCACCTGACGACATGAACGAATACTTAGGTAACATTTTACGTGTTTGTAATCATAACTATGTTTTTATATTTTTAGTTATAATGCAGTGGCGGTGTAAGAATATCCACTACCCCATATGGTCCCGTGCGTGTGGTGAGTGGCAAGAGAAGGAAACAAACCGGGGAATGGATCGCTGCATCTGTCTAATAACAACTCAATAACCCAATTGCCAAGCGTGGCAACTATAGCAAAATTCTATAAGGCAATCTATGGAGGAAGCCTATGTTCAGAAGTGCACTTCAGTGTAATGGCTCGATGAAAGGATATTTTTAAACTAATAGTATACAGCACTATGGGTCAATGTTCTTAACTTTTAAGTCCTTAATACTTGAAATAAGGATATTGTATCGCATTAATGTTTAGATAAGCGACTATCACATTGCTCTGACGGCGAGGCCAATCTTAAGTTATTTGGTTGATGCGCTTGTGGACTTTGGTTGTTTTAATATATGAATTAAGTGGTGATTGGGTTCTCATTTGTAATAAAGAATCTCTTAGCTGAGTTCTGGTTTAGAATTGTACTGTTAGTGGTGGTAGTGTTGTTTGATTATCGAAGTGTGTGATGTATTCAAAAAATAAACACAGTTTTTATGCCGATTTATTTTTGCGGTACTAATATGACGTAAGTCTCTGTCTGAAAAATATTATTTCACCAAATTCTGATAAAGTTTGTAATTTCCAAGCACTGACAAAATAGCAATTAGAATAGTGCTTTATAATTTCGCAAATGTTCACTTACCATGAACTTCATACATTGATTGACCACCGCTATGAATATCTGTTGAACACTTTGGTATCATTTGTCGCATTGTCGCTGTGCCTATGCCTTATCCAGCTTCGTCGCTGATGTCTGAGGCTTTGGCAGAGTTGCCTCTACCACATTTGTAAAGAATACACCCCTACGGCTCCAACCACTGTGCTTTACTTAAGCAATTTCAAATATTATGTAACTAGTAGCTTAGTGATATTTTTTTCAAGTAGGTTCGAGTGATGCTTGATTGCACAATATTGTTTTATTCGTTTGATATATAAATAAAAATGGAAATGATGCACAGAATGGTACAGTTATATCGGTTCTATATTATTATTATTATCTATTCATAGAGATATAGTGTAGGCTCACACGGTCGGATGGTTGATGTAAAGTATGTACGTATGTAAATATATTACGAAAATTTTTTTTTTAAAAATTGTGAGCCGTCGCAGGACGCCTGACAGACATGAAACATCGAAATAATTTTGTATAGGTAATATGCATAAAATGATAGTTTACGACTGGAAATATATATGGCAAAATGGAATTTAAAATTAAGAATTTTTTTTCAAGAAAGAGATGACTATTTAATAAACATTTATATTCATCAAAGTTACATACATACTACATACACACATACTATCATATGGCGTGGCGACGCATGCCGTAGCGATGCGTCGCCAATCGCCACGACAACTGTCAGTCTGACGCGTCGCTACGGATCTTTCAGTTCAAAATGTAACTGTTGTAAATAAAAATACAACTGCGTGGCGTATTTATCGTGCTAACTACACTCGCTGCACAGCGGCGACACACTGTTTCTTTTGAATTGCTGTCTTGTAGTATATGTACATAGAAATGTTTGGCTTTATAAGTAGAATAGATGTGGTTGTAGCAGTATGTACTAAATGAATGCGGTCGTGCTGTGATGCTCGTGCTGAGCGTGTCGCTGGCTAGTATTGGTATGTACGATGCAGTAGCGCAGCTGTATCAAAATTTGTTACGGGGCCAAAGATTTTTCACAAAAGCAGCAAAAACGCTCGCATTGAATGAAAATAATTACATATTGAAATAAGTTATTACTTACAATGAATACTCCTAGGAACTAAGCCAGCCAAACAATTCAAATCAAAATATATTATTATAACTATAACTTATTTATTAAATCATTCATAGCTGAAGGCGATTTCAGTTATTCATAATTTTATGCCTCTATAGACAATAGTATCAAGTCTGATAGCCTTTCCTTCCATAGAAGTCCTTAAGGTTTTTGCTTATAGACGTTCGGGCTCCTGTAGCCCGGGAGCCCCGTATCACTAATACCGCGGTAGCTACGACCCTGGTACGATGTGAATACAATGTGTGTGGTGCCAGGTCTGAGCGTGTCGCTGGGCGCACTGCGGACGAGCGTGGACGCGCGGCTGGAGACGCGCGGAAAGCTCGCCACGCAGTTCGCCGCGCACGTGCAGCGCGACCTCACGAACCTCGTGCTTCGGGTTAACGAGCTGCGTGACCTCGTCGCGGTGAGCACACACACACACACACCCGACATTACACGCACACACCATACCCATTATACACGCGGGACACGCGGACACACAACACATGTACGAAATAAGGACTAACGATAATATGGACGTGGATATACAAAAGGGATCCATCACACAAAAAACATCTATTGAAATTTGACATTAGAAGCTTGGATCGACATTTGGTGGCAGTAGTATGCTCTGGTTTGTTTGCAACTTTCAACTTAGACAACTGCAATATTTGCTAAAATTGTCGTTGTCATAAAAAAATACGCCATCTTTCCTTAGGACATAGACCTTGAAGATTATTTTCAATCACATATATGTAACTGGTATTTGCTACGGCCTATGGTGATTGCTTTTGAGTGATTTTTTTTATTGCTCTTCAAGAAAGGCGACAACGCTCTCTTGAAGAACTACAGTCCGATTTCCAGCCTGCCGAACAAGCCAGTTTCTGAAAAGTCTTTAGCACCATAGACCATATACATATCCTTCGGCAAATTGTACACAAGACCGAGAACAATTTGCCACGTTGTCTTGCGTATGTGGACTACCAGAAACCCTTTGATTCCGTCGAAATTTGGGCGGTGCTGCAGTCCCTTCAGCGGTGCCAAGTGGACTCTCGGTATATCGAAGTGCTGAAGTATTTGTACAGTAGAGGGCTACGATAGCTATCTCAGCATACAACTAGAGTACGAAAGCTATCCAACTGCACAGAGTTGTAAGACAGGGTGATGTTATATCCCCGAAACTCTTCATTGCTACATTGGAAGACGTTTTCAAGCTACTGAACTGGAAAGGATACGGTATTAACATCAATGGCGAAGATATCACTCTATATAGTCGATATAGTCCTTATGCTGGAATCGCTGGAGAACTTAAGCACTACGCTCAATGACCTCAATAGTGTCTCCCAACGGATAAGTCTTAAGATGAACATGGACAAAACAAAAATCATGTTTAACGTTCGTGTCACACCTATGCCGGTAGTTGTTGGGAGCACTAAGCTCGAAGTTGGTGACGAATATGTTTACCTGGGACAAATAGTCCGACTAGCTAAGTCAAACTTTGTTCGAGAGGTCATACGACGGATTCAATTCGGCTAGGCAATTTTTGGGAATTTACGACAAATCTCGTCGGGTATACCTAAAAACTTGAAAGCGAGATTGTACAACCAGTGTGTGTTGCCAGTGTGTGATGACCTATGGATCTCAAACGTGGTCCTTCACTGCTGGCCGTGTGAGGAAACTCAAGGTCGCACAGCGAGCTATGGAGAGGGCTATACTCGGGGTTTCTTTGCGTGATAAACTTAGGATATTCGCAGTAGAACCAGAGTGACCGACAAGCCCAACGGATTAGTAAGCTGAAGTGGTAATGGACCGGCCATATGACTCGAAGAACCGATAACCGATGGGGAAAAATATTCTCGAGTGCGGCCTCGTACCGGTACCTGTACTTGTAAGTGTAGGGCGACCCCCCACTAGATGAAGTCACGACCTGGTAAGACATGCAGGAAGTCGATGGATGCAGGTGGCCCACGACCGTGCTTTGTAGCATTCCTTGGAGGAGGCCTATATTTAGCAGTGGACTTGTGAAGGGCTGTAATGATGATGGTGATTGCTGTGTCCAGGATGTGAAGGTTATAGGGAACCAATAGAATGCAGGCTAAGAGGCATTTGATCTTAGTACCTACTCAAAGTTGACAACGCAACTGTAGCCTCTCTTGTTTGTTGTTGTTTGCAAGTGTCGGGTACTATTTATTATAAAATATTTCAGCAATATTTTATCTTAACTAAATTCTTACTATTAAACAATAATACTTAATAAGTTATGACAAATTATATACACATTACCGTATTCTAAATTATTTGATTTCCTTACGGCTATTTACACTATAGGATCTATATTCGAATCTCTTTTCTGTTTGTCAGCTCTTCCGTGCTATAATATTAGCTGTATTCAACATACCTTTTAGAGTTCGTTGCACGTACTAGATGAGTAACTAATTTTCTAAAATATGTAATTACTAGTTACAATAAAATATGAATTAAATTAATTTTACATAAATCTTTTATGGCATCAGTACTTTATGTGACTCTGTGGAATGTGGATTCATCTTAACTCAAATGCCGATCAATACCTACCTATTCAAGTAGACAGTACCACAAGTGTATGCATTAAGTCTAGTAGCACTAGTATGATGAAGTCGGGATTAATTTGGATGCAAAAGGTTTTCAAATCCAGATGTTTTACGCCAGCTCTTAAAATTTTTATGCTAATTTTACGTTTGACATTCACAAAAGGCTATGTTTACACGGCACAAGTTATAAAAATAAATAAGTAACGTGTTGCGAGAAGGTAAAATAAATCTAATACCATTGTATTGTTTAACACTTTTGAGAAAATGTTAAAGTGCCTGTGCCTAGGCACCAAGTCATTTAAAAGTAGTAGTTCGTGCATGATAAATAAATTTTTATGGCTTTAATTTTTATGATCTAGCAACCGTGGTTGTACGACGAAACATCGGATGTGGTTAAGGTCCAGGAGACTTTAGACGATCTGATGGAGAAGCTGATGGAATGCTCCGCCACAGACAAGCAGATACGTGAATGGCAAAAGATATTTAAAGTAAGATATAGTGTAGTTAATTGTCATTGATTTGAATTCAAATTGACTTTTTATTTCATGAGTAAGCTCTACAGGTTTATTTTAGCACAGCATATCATTAGAATATTGTGTAAAACCAAAACAGTCTTTGATTAAGCTTTAATCAAACATTAAACTAAGTTTTGATTCAAGACAATAACAATTGATAATATTATGATGTACATTAGTAAAGATGAAAAAGTTAAAACTATTGTTAATTTTTACTTGGAATAAGTTGCTCTGGTAGTATCGGGGCCTAAGCGCGTGTCACACATTTTACTGTGCATAACCATCTTGGTTTCGATCCCGACCGTCACCAATAAAATCGTTAATTGCAATTTCGTGCTTGGCTGTGGAGGAAAACATGGTAAGGAAACCTCTATACCTAAGAATTAACATATTTCGAGGACACGTAAAATCTGTGTTGGCAGACTTTACTGGAGCAGCGCGGCTGACTAACTGCTTCATAAACCCCCTTAGAAATGAGATCTGTCTTCTATCATCATGAATCATGATCTAAATGATCTAATGGATGCATTTAGTGAAGGGCAGCGTGCGCAGAAATTACAGTTTTGGTAATTAATACAATCAGGCGTTACTTTATGGAAAAGATCCACGTAATACCATCTACTGCCCTCCCTCAATTGCGCACACAAAGTGTAAGTACCTAGTGGTAAGACACCGCAAAGTCTACTTCACCAGAGTATGAATCGTGTAGAGGCGAAACACGTGTCGTATTGTCGACGGTGGTGTGTCTTTCCTAGTGCAGTAGTGTTGCGAGTAGTGGGATTAGTAGAATACCGATAGGTCTTAAGATGAACATTCCGGTGATAGTGCACGCAATTAATATCTAGGGCTTCATCACCACTTACAACTAGTTAAGATTGTGGTCAAGCACCGACTGGCTAAGTAAAAGAAGCTGTACCCAGCAGTGGGATGAGACGTATATAAGCTGCCGTAACTTTATTTTAAATTGAAGTTGATTCGGCGTTCGTAGATACCGCCGTCGCGTCTGGACCAGCTAGACGAAGCTATTAATGACGTTAAGCTGAGGCAAATGCTTTGGAAGTCCTCTAGAGAGTGGAACGAGCTCTACCAGAGCTGGTAAGTTTCGGCTGCGAAAGCTCACATAGTTGATAGTTTATCCTAAGCACTTGAAGATTTAAAAAAAAGCAGTTTAAAAAAACACGTTTTTGTAGATAACTAAAAAGTAGAAAATAATTTTCGCGTGGGATCCTTTTTCAGATATTTTTATGATGACGTTAATTTTACAAATATTCTCAAAAATATTTACTTACAACAAATGACGTCAAGCAACCTACGCTTTTTTACAATAAAATGATTTTTTTAGTTAATCATTATTTTTTTATTTCTAACTTATTGAAAATTATTTTCTACTTTTTTGTTCGGTTATCAACAAAAGCTTGTGTTTTTAGTTTTTTTTTTAAATTAATATTTATTTTGTTTTTTTTGGAACGAAATTTTTTTACGCGACTTAGTTGTTTTATGAATTATTCGCAAATCCTGTGGAACCTGGCAAGGATAATGGGAGAAACTTTTTAAATTATTGCATTGTCATCGGTCCTTGATAAGTGTGCGAAGTTACAAATGAATCAGGCGTTTCGAAGGGAATGAAAAATCACATCCGTTACATAGATACATACCAAGCTAATAAAAACGTTATAATATCGATGTTTTTTTTTTATTAAATGAATTGTCTTTATTTTAAATCTAAATAAACAAAATTCCTACTTAGACAAAGCCAGGGTGAGTCACTAGCTTTAAACAAAATTATTGATAGTAATTATTACGATTTTGTATTGCTTATTTTGCAGATTTGGCCGTGACTTGTTCTTAGAATTACTCCCGTTATAATGTTGTGCGCAGGTACGAGGTTCCCTTCAATACTTTGGATCCCGACGAGATCCAGGCGGCTGCGATTAACTACGGCAAGCAGTTCAACCAGTTGGACAAAGCCATACCACCGAACAAGATCGTGCCGAAGTGCAAAGCTACCGTCGACATTATCAAGGAAAAGGTTGTTACTCGTCCCCATTTATTATTTTATTTGCATCATTTGACTCATTATTGAAGACCTTTGCTTCTCCCGAAAATGTTTAACAGTTATGAATATATTTATGACAAATTTTAGTCTATCGATAAATTTTTAAGTTTTTATGTGTGTGATAGAAACATCCTTGGTGTTGTGGGTGTTGTAGGTGGCGGTGATCTCGTACCTGCGGAGCCCGGCTCTAAAGCCGCGGCACTGGATACGTGTGGAGGAGGTTCTAAACACTCGCCTGGTGCCTGGCGCCGAGCTCACGCTGACCACGCTCGAACAGCTCGGCGCCTTCCAGCACGCAGACCAACTTATGGAGATCGCCGCGCAGGCCAGCTCTGAGGCTGGTCTCGAGGCGCTGCTTAAGAAGGTATGAAACGACGGTCAACCAAGCCTTTCTTTTATATTATGTGACAGCATACGGATGCAGTCCAATATAATATAAACTATAACACATCTCCAAAAACCTGGACGTTATCAATTATCTCGCATATTAAAGTTAGTAAAATTACCTCGTGTAAATCCGCTCGATAAAATAAAATGATGTGTTTCACCTAGTTTTAAAAACACTTCCCGCCCTATCTCAATTGCGTACTCTATCCCCGTCACCACTAATCCTAGCACTCCTACTCCCAACACCACTACACTAGAAAAGACACCACTGACGACAATACAACACGTGTTTCGCCTGTACACGAGGCATCTTCAGCTGCTGTTGACTCTGCGGTGGCTGACCGCTTTAGCGGTCAGCGACCGCAGAGTCTAGTGGGGTAGTGCACACAATTGAGGGAGGGCGGGAGGTGCTCTTCAAATTAAGTATGACACATCATTTTATTTTATCGAGCGTATTTACGCGAGGTAATTTTTACTAACTTTAATATAATGGATTCCCGTAAAGTAACGCCTGAATCTATATAATTATCTCGCATATGTTTTGAAGTTGATTAACCATTATAGACTATCAAAGTTCATAACTGAACATATGCCTTTTCATAGATTGCCCCATAAAAGAAATATTTGTGAATGTGGCAGGTGGAGGAAATGTGGGCGTCGCTGGAGTTCCCAGTGGTGGCGCACAAGGATGCACGTGATGTGTACATCCTGGGCGGGCTGGATGAGGTGCAGGCGGCGCTGGACGAGAGCGGGCTGCACGTGGCCACTATCCTCAGCTCGCGCAACTGCGGCCCGCTGCGCAGCCGCGTCGACGAGTGGGCCCGCAACCTCGACCTCTTTGCCAAGACCCTCGTCAGTTTAACTCATCACTGCAATACAACAATACCATAACACCGCAACACCTGAACACCGCAACTACACTTAACACCGCAACCACACTCAACAGCGCAACCACACTCAACATCGCAATACCGCAACCCCACTCAACACCGCAACCACAATCAACCCGTTCTTCCAAGCAGATTGCAATGAAGTCGTCACAATGATAAAGGCAATTGACATAATATTTACTGATGATGTTAGCCCTCTAAGGTTCGACAGCACTAACGTAACGTTATTTCACCCCTTTCCCCGCGCGGTCTCGGTTTTTGAGTCTTAGTACCGACGAGTTTGAGGCGGGAGCGAGTTTAGTGAGTTATGTGGATTCTATGTTTCACTGAGGCCTCTCAGGTTCTACCGTCACCACTTACATAACTTTTTTGACAGTGCTGCTAAATTATTATTTGTGGTTTAATATAGCGTGTACAAACATATATGATGGATGATACAGAACCATCTAGAAAAAGACGTAGAGTATTGGAGCAGAGAAATTCAAGTACTAGCAGAAAAGTTATACCGGGATCCAGTTCAAATGTTGAAGATTTAGGAGAAAACTATGTTCCAGAGAAAATTGAACACAAATCGGAAACTGAAGAAAGTGGATCTGAAAATGAGCCACAGCTAGACCAGGAAAATCCAGTTTCAAGCAGTGACACTGACGATCAGCTCTTATCAAGAATGGCTAGTTATTTATATGGAAAAAACCCGATACAAGTGGGCAAAACAGCGTAATATAATAGTTCGCGCACGTGAGTGATGACGTCGAAAAGGATCCTTTTTTTTGTGGATCAAAGTTATGAACTCCGGCATTCTAGAAGTTTTAACAGTGGACCAATGTAAAACTTCGCCAATTTAGAGCCAAATACAGCCAAGAAGGTCAACCTGAACTACAAGATATTGATATGATTGAATTTTATGCGTTTCTTGGTATTCGAATGCACACCGCGGTGTTTAAGTCAAACCACGAAAATATTGCATACATATTTGCAACAGATGGAACCGGAAAAGACATTTTCAGATGCGTTATGTCCAAAAAAAGATTTCTGAATGTGCTTTTGTGTTTAAGTTTTGATGATGCGCTTGACAGATAAGAAAGAAGATAAAACAAACTAGCCGCGATTTATAAAATATTTAGGATATTCGTGAACTGTCAAAATCTTTACAACAGAGGAGAGGGTGCCACAATTGATGAAATGCTGGTTGCGTTTAGAGGCCGCTCGTACTTCGTCATAAACATGCTAAGCAAACCATTAAATTATGGGCTGAAACTGATTTGTTTGTGCGATGCGGAAACCAATTACTTCTACAACACCTAAATTTATTGTGGCATATGCTCTGATAGTGAAACTTAGACAAATGAAGAGAAAAACTTGTTAGTTCCATCACAATCCGTGATACGTCTGACAAAGCCATTGCATAGTAGCAACCGTAATATAACTTGTGACAATTGGTTCGCATCAATTGAATTAAAAATTAAAAGGCAAATCTGTGCTTTTAGTTTCTTTGAAGCATCACGGCGAAGCAGTTGATGACAGAACAGGAAAGCCTGAAGAGACCTTTACGGACTCACAGAAGGTGGCTGCGGCCCGCCACGCCGAGTCTCCGCTCAGCATCGCCGACACGACTGCTGTTAGCTTTTCGCTCATACAGGCGCCCCGTATAAGGCCACGGACCACACTATTCCCGCATAGAGGCAGTGTACTTCCTCCTTCGGTCCCCTATATTGGACAGCAGTCTGTGCATTGCACCCGCCACCCTCTCAATCTGGGGGACTAAGCGCTCAAAGTGCTCTTCTAAGCCCCAGCTACTGTCCAGGTGCAGCCCTAGGTACATCATGTACCACCATAGAGAGAGTAGCAAGTTACGCGTCAGTAGAGAGTTAAAGGCTTTGACGATATCAAGACTTATCGCCAACCCCACACCACCATGAGATACTACTTGTTCCTTCAGGGAGCCGACGTGTATAATGGCATCTACATTGCAACGCCCCGGCGGAATCCAAATTGACTATCAGCCAAATCGGGACCGACGCGTGACAAATGTCTGTTGAGCCGAGTGGCAACTATTCATTCGTACACTTTACCAATCTCGCCCAACAGGCATATGGGATGGTACGCAGAGGGAGAATTGGCGGCCCTGAATTTCTTCTTCAAGAGGACCAATCTTGCTTCTTTCCGTACTGTGGGGAACTTGGCACTCCGTAGACAGCCGGTCCTCTACGGTCACTCCAATCTCATGTTGCTACTCCCATGACGACGGCAGATGACCTGAGGGCATTTGCTGATCCTTTAGGGAAAAGCGTGCTGATCACTCTTTCCAGCAGGTCCGGATCGAGAGTCTTTGTCAAGGGGGGCGACCAGGGCCGGAGTTTTCACAGCACCATCCTGTACGGTCGCCCCTTAGCCCCAATAGATCTTTTAGGTTGCACTGATACTGGTCTCTCTAACCCTACATAGCTGCTCGTACGGTTGCCCCCAGGGATCTTCGTTGAGTCCCTCTAGGAGTTATTTCCAGGATCGAGACCTGACGTTAGGTATGGCAAATCGTAACGCCTTTCCATCCGAACGGTATGCCCCGTAGACTATAGCAATATCCGCGAGTGGACCTCGCCTTCTCTTTAGTGTACTGGCGCCAACTCCGCAAGCAAATCGCACGAAGGTGTGCTATTTCTGCCGTCAGTACACCATTCTGCGCTTGGGACAACTGCCAAGCCTATTTGCGCCAATCGAGCGGAACCTCTTCGGCTTTTTCTGGCTAGGCCGCAGCGATGGCGGCAGCTTCAAGCTTGTCTCAGTCAAGCCGCTTGAGGCACTAAACCAGGAGACAGGAGGCCCTTTTTACTGGAAACGAGGCATTCCATCTTAGTCCTCACGGGTGACAACGCATCTGTATTTTGATTCGTAATCGAGGATAAATGTCTATGGGCCACAGCAACCACTTACCATCAGGTAGACTGTGTGCTCGATTGTCACCCTTATCCTATAAAAAGAAAAAAAAACTAACGCTACCAACAATAGGGATGACAGGACCACCCTGGGAAGTATTTTTCTTGCTGAACTGCATATCATAGTTTTCTTTTTTTACAGGGCGTGGTCCCTGAATCACCCCTTCCATAGGCTTGGGACTGAGCTTTCCCCCAGCCGTTCATCCCATCGTTACCTTAACTTAAGATTAGGTTATTTTTAAAGAGGTTGTCTTCCTCGCGACCCTGCGTGGCCCCCGGGCCCTAGTGGGTTTACAGATTATCCGGAATAGGTGTGCTTGGCACATCACCGTACAGAGATCGCCCGGAATCGGTGCGCTTGGCACATTATCGCGCGGGGTCACACAGCATTGGTGCGCTTGGTACTCGTATGTCGCACCCCTGTCCGTTATTAGCAAAGAGCGATACTGGGAATAACTACAAGCCTGTGAAAGCCCATCTTTTAGGGTGTTTTGGTCTTAATGGAAATACGGGTATGCCCAACCCGGCCAGTTTTGGTCCGCGGTGGTTTCCCGCTACCACCCATATCTGGGTAGCGTTCCCCTAGTCCTCACCTGGGGCGCACCCGATGGAATCACTATGTGATGGAAACGCGCATGTTCTGTATCAAGCTGACGGAGGCAGAACCATTGAGACGGAGGATTTCATCAAATTTTGGCCAAAAATAAGCTAATTTTCGTTTTGTTAGTTCATAGATAAAAGTGATAGTAAGAATACACATCATCGTTTTATTTAATACCTAAATATCTATATTATTAACAGATAGGTAGGCAACAATAATTAATTTTTGTATATTACTGATTACACTTATATTCAACCGAGACCTGTCAGGCATCACGTCACCACTAACTTTACACAAAAACCACGTCAGGAGTTAAAGGTTTATAAGTTAAACTAAAAACTAAAATATAAATAAAGAAACCTTGCTATGAATTAAATTCTTGAAGGTTCTTGAATCTAAATTTTTGAAGGTTTTCATAGATTAAATCTCTTCGTTTAATACTTCACGAATTGAATGTATGTACATGTATTTTATTTAAAATTTGCGCCATATATTTTACCATCAGCAATTTTTCCGGACCGATACGACTTAGGGACCTTCAACAAAAGAGCCTACTCCTTTTTAAAAGGCCGGCAACGCATCTGCAATTCCCCTGGTTTCCCTGGTGTTGTAGTTGTCAATGGGCGGCGGTTGTCACTTACCATCAGGTGAGCCGCATGCTCGTTTGCCCCCTCTACTATAAAAAAAAAATGATCTGAAAGGCCTAGTTCGATGACTTCACTGTTAGAACCTATTATATTATGTGCAAAATTGTCTATATGGACCCACTTGTAACTGTTGTCGGCTTTTTTATTGCTATCTTCAAATTGCTTAACAGTAGATTTTTAAATTCTCGACCAACAGAAGTATTTTTCAAAATATCAATGTTTAAATGGCCATAGATTATTCATAATTCATAATTCATTTATTGCATGTCACAAAGTATAAAGTTGTTACAATATGTCTACAGAGCATGTGACAACCCTGTACGGGCGTAGCATATTAAGATCTATTTTAATTGTTAATTAATATGAAATCAAATTAAATTACAATTTTTAAGGTACATAATCTATACATTATTATTAATTAATTTATTAAATATCAAACTAAATAAATAATACACACATTTATTTAAAATGAAATGTCAATAAATATTTCATCTTAACTATTGGTCATTTTAATTATTTTCAAATTCATTCATTTTGAAAAAATTTAATTTTTTATAAAACAAAGGATCGTCGAAAAGGGGAAAGAGAAGAATTACGTCTGCCTGGGTAACTAGTAGTTATATATATATAAAAACTTGGTACAAATTATTTTATACAACAATGTCTATTAAGCTCGCTATATAACATCAAATATCAAATTTCAACAGTGGTAGAGCCACCGGCAGCTTTTGCTGTCGCACGGGTGGGCCGGCTCGAACCGGGGTGGTACCACGACCTCACAGAAAACCAGCGTGAAGTAGAGGTTTACCTCTGCGTTTCGCTTGGTTAGTGCAGGTGGCCGGAGGCCCTTTTTACTGGAAATGAGGCATTCCATTTTAGTCCTCACGGGTGACAACGCATCTACATTTTGATTTGTAATAGAGGATAGATGTAGATGTCTATGGGCCGCAACAACCACTTACCATCAGGTGGACTGTGTGCTCGTTTGTCACCCTTATCGTATAAAAAAAAGTTTCCTGAATGTGATATTCAAACGCCTTACGTGATACAGGAGGAGTGGCAGACGTGCCAACAGACCTGGATGTACCTGGAGGCGATATTCAGTGCGCCGGACATTCAGCGCCAGCTTCCCAATGAGACCCGTCTCTTCAATATCGTTGACAAGTCCTGGAAGGACATCATGCGCAAGCTCGCTAAGGTTATTTTTTACTTATTACATTTACATAAATATATACTATACAACATTTCTGCATCTATTAGCTACATTTTTTTGATGTTGTCGCGGTTTTTAACTATTTTATAAGGTATACTGAACTGTATTGAGATTCAAAATCCCCTGAAACATTCAGTTACCTCAGTCACAAAATTACACCAAGACAGCAATAAACTACTGACTGTCTTACTAGCAAAGGCACGGCAGAATACACTAGTAATTAGATTGACATACGCGGTATACTCTAGAGTAGTCCTTTTTTAAAGTTTTTGGGAGATTCATTCACATCACGATAATACAAGAGATTTAAGCGGCCCTGGAATTGCAGCAGGTCATTGTGCCTCGGTATAAAATTGCGACGAGTTGCGGTTTATTACTGAACAGATGTTTAGTACACACATACGTCCAAGATACGAACCCGCGGCCCTTAGCGCTGCAACTCATTACTAAGCCACTGCGCCACGGAGCCGTCACTTGTCTGTTTCACATTTTTTGCTGTTTATAAACATGCGACACGTGAATTCATTATTAATGAAAGAGTGGCAATGAGAAGTGCTGCTACTCTCAATCTCTTTCGTTTATCGACCAAGTGTTAAAATAATAACCAGTATATGGTGATCTTGCATTAGTAGGCAGTCACTAGTACTGGGAGGTCTATTTATATTGAAAATATTATATTGAACCATATTTTAAGGTCATTGGCATTATACGCGAAAAAATCGAAAACTGCGAAGTCGTGGTCGGGTCACTAATCAAATAATAAATCTGTAACTATGGTGTCAGTAACTAAATACCTAATTATTTAGATCTACCTATAAATAATAATATATTTTTACCTTTCCGTATCCTTAAGAACAGTAAATAATGAAAAATCGACATTCCTATTATTATTTAAGCACCCGTATGCTATACAGTACCTTTTGGCTTTTGAGAGGCCATACTTGAATAAAAACTCAAAACTAAATATCAAAAGTGCCTAAGTACTTATTAGAGAAAATATTTTTTTTATGTTAACGTAAGGCACACGTCAGATCGAGCGGGCGCGTGACAACCTCACAGAATTAGCCCTCATACGGGAGACCGATGACGCAACCGCTCCCGGTCGGTCTGTATAAAAGACAGTTGTTTTAGCTCACCGGTCACTTGACGGTCAGCCACCGCAGAGTCTACATCACCTGAGGATGCCTCGTGTAGAGGCGAAACACGTGTCGTATTGTCGTCAGTTGTGTGTCTTTACTAGTGTAGTAGTATTGGGAGTAGTGGTGCTGGGATTAGTGGTGACAGGGATAATGCATGCAATTGAGGGAGGGCGGGAGGTGCTCTTCATACTAGGTAAGACACATCATTATATTTTATAGAGCGGATTTTGTCGAAGGAAATTTTTAAAAGCTTTAATGGAATGTGGAAAGACAAATGCTGACAAGTTATACCATAATAATATAAAAATCAAAAATAATAATAATGGTATAATAATCATTAAACATAAATATTTTTTATAGACTAAGGGTAACAATTGACCACACATTTCACCTGATGGTAAGTGGATGCTGTGGCTCATAGACATCTACATCTATCCCCGATTAAGAAGTAAAATTCAGATGTGTTATCACCCCTGAGGACTAAGAAGGAGTGCCTCGTTTCTAGTAAAAAGGGTCTCCGGTTCTCTACACTCACATTTTACGATAGTATTCTGTGAGAGCGTGGCCCTACCCCAGTTGAGCTGACCCATTCGTGCTATAACTATATAGCTACAGCGTGTCTCTACCACGTAAAATGAATCACGTGAATTAGGAAGCTGTTAATTCATTATTTGAGGAAATTTGCGCACAAAATGGCCCATTCATAATTTGGCACGAGATCACCCAGATGCTGGTTGTTTCAGGTGCCACTGGCGATGCCGGCTGCCACTCAACCGAAACTCTACGAGGAGTTCGTGCGCAACAATGAGATGCTAGATCAAATCATGAAGTGCCTCGAAGCCTACCTGGAAACCAAGCGCGTCGCCTTCCCGCGCTTCTTCTTCCTGTCCAACGATGAACTGCTGGAGATCTTGGCACAGGTTAACCGAATTCTGTGTCATTTCATCTGTATTCATCGCGTAAATACTTTCATGGACATTATCTTATACAAAATGAAAATGAGAAAAATTGACACCTTAAATCATATCATTAGGTATTGTGACCACAAACTTCTCAATTTTACTGTCATTTTGTCACTAACATGGTCTTAAATAAACGTGCTATTAATCCCAGTCACAAATCAAGCAAAAAAAGGTTGCTAGGTTAGTTAAATAAACGTAGTTTCTCTTAGACGTAGTTGAAAAAAATGGGATCACCTAATAAATAATGACGCCATTTCATGTTATTAGAGCGAGACAGGTAGAGATGCTATTTGATATTCAACCAAATTGTTACATTGGATTTAAAAAAACAATTCTATCAATAAATTAGAAGATAAAGTATAAAATGAAACAAAGAATGAAATAAATATTCTAATAAAACTATTAGAATATTTTATTTTAAGTTATAAAAAAAGGTTCAAATTGTTTGCCTTTAGCATACACGAAGGCTCTATATGTTTTTAAAAAAGATCGCTTAACTAATCTTCCGTATCTTTTTAAAAGAAATTTCTGCAGCAGCTGCTCTTAACTTTCTGGCCTAGTTCGGTTATGTTTTGAATAAGTATTGCAATAGGTCCTCTCGCACTAAATGTGGGTTTTCAGTATACCAATCATGAACGTGGTTCGGTTATGTTTTGAATAGGTATATCATGCCAATCATGAACATTATGAATAAATATAACGATCTTTTTTGTATGTTGTTTCATCGGTCCATAATATTTTATCCAAAAATTACGGATCTTCCCTATTTTTTGCTAACATTATTCTACAAAAGTTCACTCTAAGAGAGTTGTCATCCGGTAGTAAATTCTTTACTCGTCATATTATATCATATCATCTCTCCCTGTCTCACTCTAACTCACATGAAATGGCGTCATTATCTGTTTCATTCAAAAACATTTCTAATTTGCACTTGTTGAATTCAATAGTTCATAGATGAAACGTATTGTGTTTTGATTTTAGGTCTTATTTCAGAAAATTAAATTAATATAATTTTTTTAAGAATGAAATGTGATAAGTATTATACCACTTTGAAATCAAAGATAAATGGGCCATAGAAACTACGTTAATATTAACTAACCTAGCAACCTGTTTGATTTGTGACTGCATTTATTAGCACGTTCATTTAAGACCACGTTAGTGAAATGGTCATTGTAAAATTGAGAAATTTGTGGTCGCAGTACCAAATGATATGATTTAAAGTGTCAATTATTATAATTTTCATAAATTTATCAGTTATAACTGAACTAAATGATGTGAAATTTGTTTATTTTTCCCGGGGCTTGTATGACCCCTCCTCTCGCTCTGTGCCCGCTTAATGCTGAGTTTCGGGACACGTATTATGTATATCCAAAGGTTATTGTTCAAATCGGTTTACGTCATGACATCCAATGGTCATATGACGTTGGTCTTAGATCTATGTAATGTGGTCTTTGATTCGGTGTAAGGTCACGTTGTTGAGTTTACTGTAACTAGTTTAAGCGCAGGTAGCACCCGCAAGCTTTTGTCATTGCATTGTTGCTTGCGGATGTAACCATGTTATCGATTAGCTTAAGCATCGAGTCACTAGTCTTTCACAAACTAGGGTTCATTATGTTTATGGTTTAACATTTTTGACATCAATCGTTCTGTACTTGCTAGTGATGAGAAGATAAATACTTAGTCTGGTCATAAGTTCTGTCAAAACCTTATTATTTAAAATTTTGGAATACAGGCTAGATGAACTTCGCCAATTTTAAAAATATAACGTTTGCGCTTGCCGAAAATAAAAAAGACATTAATTTTTATTCATTTTCAAATATAAAGTAGTCGAAGAAAGAAGATAGAGTAGCGGTTATTGCGTTACATCGCTGTGGTTACGCGCCAAGAGAGATTTTAATATTCTACAAAAATTGAAAATATACCCTACGATTTGTTTATCGCACTATCAAACGATTCACTGAAGATTCAAGAAGAAAGTTAAAATAAACAAAATGATAAGGTGTGACACACCAGTGAAGAAGCCAGCACGCGTATTCCGAGGGTTCACATTATCCTTCGTCACTCATGGTTTGGCTTGGAGTCTCATATTTAGGCTCGACTTTGGTGATTTTCTGTGAAAAAGGAGTAAAAACCAGTGCCGAAGTGTACCAAAATACCGTCCTAACAAACATAGTGAAACCTCTTTCTCAAACAATGTTCAAAAACAAACATTGGATATTCCAACAGGAGTCTGCACCAGCTCACAGGGCACGAAGCACGCAAAACTGGTTCACCGCCGGGGGATTGACTTTATCGGACATGAAGACTGGACCTCTTCTAGTCCAGATTTAAACCCACTGGATTACAAGATATGGCAACATTTGGAGGAGAAAATCTGCGCTAAAACTCTTCAGAATTTGGAATCTCTCCGAGCATCTTTGGATAAAGCAGCGGCAGAAATAGATTTGAATGTGGTGCGTGCTGCGATTGATGACTGGCCGCGTCGATTAAGGATATGTATTCAAAATAGGGGAGGGCATTTTAAATAATGGAAATAAAATTGTATTCTAAATTAAATTACAATATTATGTTTTAAATTATTAATATTTTATTATATTATTTCTATATAATTATCAAAAAGGGTATCATTAATTTTATAAAAAGTTTTTGACAGAACTTTGACCCGACTAAATATATATTTTGTTTTTATTATTGTAAAAAATTGAAGAAAACGTACCTCTGCACGCAACGACCACTGTCGCCGCTAGTACGAGTATTGTAACCATTCCTTCTGTCTGTAAGATCGTGCTGTGTGCACTTAGCAGTATTACTTTATAAAAGCTTTTAGAAAAATTTACTTCGCAAATATCCGCGTTATAAAATAAAATAAAGTAAATTTTTCTAAAAGCTTTTATATAATGGATTTCCGCAAAGTAACGCCTGATTCTATTAATTAGTATTACTTTATTTAGCATTTATGGAACTGTTTATCGGTAGACTGAATAGACCTGGTGGTGTTCCTTTTTGCTTGGAAGTCTGATGATAGTGTGGTGTGATTTCTACCAAACTATTCTTACCATTAAGAGCACATTATCTGGACCACAGAAATCGTAATAATAAGACACTTACGATTTCTGTGATCTGGACAGTGCTTAGTCTAAGCAAACGTATTCACCTGGTTTTGATAGTGGGAAGCCAACAAATATCTTTTTTTACAACTCCATTAAGTGTATGTATTACTCTCATGTTCATAATATGTTTCTTTGTTTTTGTAATTTTTTAAAATCTTTTAAAATTGAAAATTGTTTAGTTTTTTAGGCTCGTAGAACTCAAACGCTTTAAAATGCAATTAAGTCTCGTGCTGTCTCTATCGCTTTCAGTCAATTTGAATGTGACACCACGTCACTTGAAGTCTTAAAATTGAGTAGCGTTTGGGAATTGGCCATAATTGACAGAATCAGGCGTTACTTTGCGAAAATCCATTATAATGGGGTTCTTATAATCTAATTTGCTTAATTCCGCGTAAAGAAATAAATTTGTTTTTCTTTTCTTTTTTTAAATGATTTGTCCTGTCTAATTTTACGGGGACCTCCCACCCTCCCTCAATCGCGCGCACTATACCCGTCGCCGTTAATCCCAGCACTACCACCTCCAGCACCACCACACTAGGCACGACACACCACTCTCGAAAATACGACACGTGTTTCGCCTCTACTTGTTTGTGACGAATGCCAAGCCGTTTACGTGGGTCAGACTTATCGCAACTTCGAAACACGTTATAAAGAGTATTTAGCCGCGTACAGGAATTGTAACCCCGATAAATCACATTTTGCTAAACATCTCTTAGACACTGGACACAGCCTAGCCAATGACCACTCCTTTAAAGTCTTACATACTTGTAATAAAGGGCTACGACTGTGTGTGCTGGAACAGTTAGAGATATTAAAAAATAATAACGGTAACGTTGCACTGCTGAATGAACAAACAAATGTTTCCAACTCACCTCTCTTAAACATGTTTAAGCCTGCTCCTTGATGATATATAGCCTTGCAACATGGCCGTTAGTCACCCTCACGGTGTGGTGGTCAGCGTTTGATTGCGTGGTTGTAGGGTAGGCGGACGTTTCGCAGTAGTTTGTTGTTAATTTCACAGCAAATATCGGCGTACGTCAGGCGGTGATTGATCGCATCACGTAATCGCTCGCTACGTAATTGGAGCGCGGTTGCGTTAGCAAGTAGTATAAATAGCAGTAGTTTCGGCTCGCCGCTCACTTAGCGGCCAGCCTCCGCAGAGACTACTTCACCTGACGATGCCTCGTGTAGAGGCGAAACACGTGTCGTATTTTCGAGAGTGGTGTGTCGTGCCTAGTGTGGTGGTGCTGGGGGTGGTAGTGCTGGGATTGGTAATGCTGGGACTAACGGCAACGGGTATAGTGCGCGCGATTGAGAGAGGGTGGGAGGTCCCCGTAAAACTGGGCAGGACACATCATTTTCTTTCTTTACGCGGAATTAAGCAAATTAGTTTATAACAACCCCATTAATTTGGCCATAGCTAAGTTTAAGCACATAGGTTCTAACGCGTGTTGCATACGACCAAGTCTCGGCGTCTCTTCTAGCAGGTAGTACATATTACTTAAATGGATTAGGATAGAAGTGCATGTAGTAAAACGCTTGTTACTCGCAGACACGCAACCCCCACGCGGTGCAGCCACACCTGCGCAAGTGCTTCGATGCGATCGCGAAGCTGGAGTTTGGTGTGCGGCTGCCGGCCAGCGAGATGGTGGTGACGGAGGATGGTTCGCTGGTGGAGCGCGAGATGTCGCCGCGAGAGCGTGACCGCCTGCAGGCTGCGCTCGCAGCCACCGCACGCCCCGACGATCTCACCACAGACATCATCGCCATGCTCTCGCCGGAGGGCGAGCGAGTCACGCTCGGCAAGGTCAGACACCACAACACCCTTGTTCATATGTTTTGCTATTTTGAACAAACTATTGTTGAAACCCTCTCTGTGTATTTTTTTAGTTTAAGTTCTTTCGAAACTACTGTTGTAAACAGTTCCAATTAAATTTATCATTGTTTGATATGATTGGTTTTGTATGAATACAATTCAAAAATATAAATTCAAGCAGTATTAGCGTAGTGAATCATCATTATCATTAATCACATACAACCTTTCAGAAGCCTCTCGTATGAATTGCTTTATAGATTGTACCATAGTTGCTAGGTTTGGTAGGAAGGTTGACCAACCACAGTATTTTTTTTTTGAACTAAGTGAACATGTTGCTGCCCACTTCGTGTTTTAGTTTCTTTCTGACGTTTATTACGACACGGGCCACGGGATATGAGCTAGTGGATTCCCTTACACACTCACACTCACACACATTCCTTTATTTGAGAAAAAAATATATTCAAAAGAAAGCATTAAAAGTTTCTAAAATATATGTATGTAACAGCGAACTTTAATTTCAACATTCTGGCAATATTGATTGTTTATGTAAAGGCTGACTTCAAAATACTAAATAACAACAAATTAAAATTAACTTTGGGCCAAAAAGCAAACCTATTTTTTTTAATTTAGTTACCAGTTTTTATTTCTACCAAAAGTTCTGCAAGTTGCCGCCGTGTTTCGCATTACAGGTCGGCGGATTGAGACGGAATGCGGTCTTTCTTTGCATCCTACTCATGGGGGCGGGTTTGCTTCTCGCGGGATGATCCCAGCGCCGTTGCTGACTCTGTCACTGATGTGGTGCTATAGGGAATGGGACTATTTATTCCATCATCTGTGGTACCCATCGGAGGCAGATCTCAGCCTTGGTTTGGTAGCTCCTGTAAGACTGCATTACGCAGTAAGCAGGAGTGTTATCAAGCCTGGGCTGCGGCTTCGGCGACTCGGGATGTAAACACCAGCACACTTAAAAAGAAGTATAACTTCGCCCCCAGGTCCTTGAAAAGAGTTATTACCAAGGCAAAGTCAGAACACATAGGCAGAATTGGCAAGAAACTAGTTCGTCTTCCTTCGGGAACCCGTGCATTCTGGTCTCTCGCCAAGGCTGTCCAAGGGAATTTCTGTAAGCCATCACTAACATCTCCGCACAGGGAGCAAGACTCACTGGCCCAAGCCGCAAAAGACAAAGCCGACCTTTTAGGCTCCCTTTTTGCGTCCAACTCGACTCTTGATGACGGGGGGAAAACACCGCGACCATCCCGCGGTGTGAGTGCTCCATGCCGGATGTGCTGTTCTCACAGCGCTCGGTTCGCAAAGCACTCCTCTCCCTGGACATTCAGAAGTCGAGTGGGCCTGACGGAATCCCCCCAATTGTGCTGAGGACGTGTGCTACGGAGTTGGCACCGGTCCTAACGCGTCTTTTCCGGTACTCCTACTCCCAAGGCGTAGTTCCGAATTCATGGAAGACAGCTTTTGTCCACCCGATCCCTAAAAAAGGCTACCGCTCAGACCCGGCTAACTATAGGCCTATCGCCATCACCTCCTTGTTCTCCAAAATAATGGAATCCATTATAAACTGCCAGCTCATGCGGTACCTTGAGGATCACCAGTTGATTAGTGACCGCCATAACGGTTTTCGTCGGGGTCGATCAGCTGGTAATCTTCTGGTCTACCTGACCCATAGATGGGCGGAGGCAGTGGAGTCCAAGGGGAAGGCGTTGGTCGTTAGTTTGGACATTGCGAAGGCCTTCGATCGGGTTTGGCACAAAGCGCTTCTTTCGAAGCTCCCTTCCTATGGGCTTCCCGAGAAATTGTGCAATTAGATCACCAGCTTCCTCGCAGAAACAGAAACAGAAACTTTTTTATTCAATATAGATTATTTTTTTTTCTTTTTTTTTTATAGGAGAGGGGGCAAACGAGCATGCGGCTCACCTGATGGTAAGTGACTACCGCCGCCCATGAACAACCGCAACACCAGGGGAATTGCAGGTGCGTTGCCGGCCTTTTAAAAAGGAGTAGGCTCTTTTCTTGAAGGTCCCTAAGTCGTATCGGTCCGGAAAAATCGCTGGTGGTAAACTATTCCACAAGGAAGTTGTGCGAGGAAGAAAACATCTTCTAAATCGCACAGTGGTGGACCGCCAATCATCCAGATGGTGTGGATGGTATCGGGAGTTCTGCCGCGATGTGCGTTCGTGAAATTTGGCGGCTGGAATTAATCCGAACAATTCCTCAGAGCACTCCCCATGGTAAATGCGAAAGAAAATGCTAAGAGATGCAACATCTCTTCGCAGTGCCAATGAGTCGAGCCGATCGGAAAGGACTCGGTCGTCGACGATTCGAGCCGCTCTGCGCTGGATGCGGTCAAGTGGAAGAAGCTGGCACTGGGGAGCCCCAGCCCAGAGATGGGAACAGTATTCCATGTGAGGCCGAACCTGCGCCTTGTAAAGTTGCAGGCGTTGAGCCGGCATGAAATACTGTCCCGCTCTGCTGAGCACGCCAAGCTTTTTAGAGGCCAATTTGGCCTTCTCTTCCAAGTGACCACGAAACTGCACGCTACTCGATATGTCGACGCCGAGGATTCCGATACTGGCTGAGGCAACAAGGGGAGTACCTTGAAACTGAGGAGATACGACAAAGGGGTTCTTTTTAGCGGTAAACGCGCAAACTTGTGTCTTCTGAGGATTAAACTGGACTAGATTTAGTCGCCCCCAATCCGAGACTTTGTCCAGCAAAGACTCGACTTCAGACACAAGTTTGTTCCGGTACTCGGTGACGTTTTCCCGAGAAATATTGGCACGGCCGGTGTATAGAGCATCACCGGTGCTGTCATCTGCATAGCAATGAATGCTACCAGCTTGCAACATATCATTGATATGCAGAAGAAACAGCGTTGGTGATAGCACGCAGCCTTGTGGAACACCAGCGTTAATAGGCTTGTAGTCGGAGCATGCACCGTCTACAACGACCTTGATGCTCCGATCTGCAAGAAAGCTGGTGATCCAATTGCATAATTTCTCGGGAAGCCCATAGGAAGGGAGCTTCGAAAGAAGCGCTTTGTGCCAAACCCGATCGAAGGCCTTCGCAATGTCCAAACTAACGGCCAATGCCTCCCCCTTGGACTCCACTGCCAACGCCCATCTATGAGTTAAGTAGACCAGAAGATCACCAGCTGATCGACCCCGACGAAAACCGTACTGGCGGTCACTAATCAGCTGGTGATCCTCAAGGTACCGCATGAGGTGGCAGTTTACAACGGATTCCATTATTTTGGAGAACAAGGGGGTGATGGCGATAGGCCTGTAGTTGGACGGATCTGAGCGGTCGCCTTTTTTAGGGATCGGGTGGACAAAAGCTGTCTTCCATGATTTCGGGACTACGCCTAGGGAGTAGGAGTACCGGAAAAGACGCGTTAGAACCGGTGCCAACTCCGGAGCACACGTCCTCAGCACAATTGGAGGGATTCCGTCAGGCCCACTCGACTTGTGGATGTCAAGGGAGAGGAGTGCTCTGCGAACCGAGCGCTGTGAGAATCGCACATCCGGCATGGAGCACTCACACCGCGGGATGGTCGGCGGTGTATTCCCCCCGTCATCAACAGTCGAGTTGTACGCAAAAAGGGAGCCTAAAAGGTCGGCCTTCACTTTTGCGTCGTGGGCCAGTGAGTCGTCCTCCCTGTGCAGAGATAGTAGTGATGGCTTACAGAAATTCCCTTGGACAGCCTTGGCGAGAGACCAGAATGCACGGGTTCCCGAAGGAAGGCGAACTAGTTTCTCGCCAATTCTGCCTATGTGCTCTGACTTTGCCTTGGCAATAACTCTTTTGAAGGACCTGGAGGCGAAGTTATACTTCTTTTTGAGTGTGCTGGTGTTTACATCCCGAGTCACCGAAGCCGCAGCCCAGGCTTGATAACACTCCTGCTTACTGCGTAATGCAGTCTTACAGGAGCGACCAAACCAAGGCTGAGATCTGCCTCCGATGGGTACCACAGATGATGGAATAAATAGTTCCATTCCCTGTAGCACTACATCAGTGACAGAGTCAGCAATAGCGCTGGGATCATCCGGCGAGAAGCAAACCCGCCCTCATGGGTAGGAAGCAAAGAAAGACCGCATTCCGTCCCAATCCGCCGACCTGTAATGCCAAACACGGCGGCAACCTGCAGAACGCAACCGCGAGGGGAGCGTGAGTGGCACCACACTCCGGATCAGACAATGGTCCGAAGAGCCAAGAGGGGCATCGACGGAAACCTGATATCCGTCCGGATGAGAGGTCAGCAGAAGGTCCAACAGGGAAGGTGTATGATCCTCAACATCTGGAATCCGCGTAGGCGATGTAACCAGTTGTGTCAGACCATATGCCAAGGCAAAGTCATAAACAGATCTCCCCGCATGATCGGTTAAACGTGAACCGAGCCATTCGGCGTGGTGGGCGTTAAAATCGCCAAGGATCACGATCTCTGCGGATGGGACCTGTTGTAGCAAGGAATCTGTAGCCATTTGGACGTGGTCGATGAGTCGGTCTGTTTCGGCATTACCGCTATGGGACCTATAGAGGCACACGTAGATGCGCGGATGGTCGTCGCTGTCTACGCGTAGCCAAAGGATGGACAGGTCCGAACCTTCAAGACTGCCGAGGCGTCGAGAACAGATGTCCTCTCTGACATACACGCAAACTCCAGCCCGAGGCACAAAGGAGTGCTCCAATTTGTACCCCGGGTAGGAGAGATACGAAGTATCAGCCGGAGAGGACACCTGCGTCTCGGTCAGAAAGAGCAAGGCCGGCTTCGCCGCCTCAAGATGGTAGTGGACGGCGTTTAGGTTCGAGTGAAGTCCCCTGATGTTGCAGAAATTCACGGATAGCGTGGCAGGGGTCGCCTTGGTCTTGTTGCTCAGTTTGCCCCGAGCAGTTATTGTGTTGAGCGGAATTTTGCTCCCCCCAGAATACGCGGGGCAGCCTGAGCACCCACGCTCAGGAGTGGAATAGCATGGTTGTGGATGCTCAGCGAGGGATTCTCCAGGGGTACTGGTACCCTCCTGGGGTAGTTTATGACGTAATTCCGCTACCATGTTGATTGGGGGGGGGGGGGGGGGGGGGGAATTGGGCATCCGGTCACCTGCACTCACCAGACGAAACGCGGAAGCAGAGCTTCCACTTCACGCCGGTATTCTGTGAGGTCGTGGTACTAACCCGGCTCGAGCCGGCCCATACGTGCAACAGCAAAAGCTGCTGCAAGGCTCTACCACCGTTACTTTCAATAAATAATACTTATTGAAAGTCATTCTTTTGTATGAATACCACTTGTTCGAAAAAAACCTCTGTCCTGGGAAGAACCAGCAAGAAACCCAGCAGAACTTTTTTTTTAAATAACAGCTTACAATCATGTATGTTACACAAATTAACGCTATTACAACAAAATGAATCGCCCCAAGAATGAATTACTGACTCGATATTACTAGAAAAACTAAGACGTTATGGTGTGAGAGGTAATGGACTAAACTTAATAAAATCTTATTTAACAGATAGAACACAAAGAACTGTAATCAGTCAGATCTGTATCTCTACTAAGCAAGAAAAAATATATACGTCTAATAATAGAACGATAAAGCATGGCGTTCCTCAAGGTAGTGTTTTGGGTCCTTTACTATTTATAATATACATTAATGATATTGTTGAATCTTGTAAATACCCAATGATACTATTTGCAGACGATAGCACTATTTTTGCACAGTGTGACAATGTAGCAGAATATCAAAATAATATTAACTTTGCTATTGAAAATATTATTAAATGGTTAAAAGCAAATAATCTAAAAGTTAATCTGGAAAAAACAAAAATAATGCAATTTACACAAAGAAAAAGTACCCCAACTCAAACGATAAGTTATGGGAATAAAACTATTTCTGAAACAAAAGTTGCTAAATTCTTAGGGCTGTTTATAGATAGCAACATGTCATGGGAATCGCATTCAATAGAAATCTGTAATAAAATGTATAAATTTTCATTTGCACTAATAAACTGTCAAAAATAACTGACCGAAAGACTGTTCTAACAGCGTACCATGGCTTTGTGGCTTCGACCCTGCGATATGGTATCATATTTTGGGGACTGTCAACATACAGGGAATTAATGATGAAAGCTCAAAAACAGTGTATTCGAGCTATATGTGGGATAAAGCCTACAGAAAGTTGCATACCGTACTTTAGATCTCTTAAGATATTAACATTACCCTGTATGTATATACTAGAATCATGTATGTTTGTAAAATGCAATCCGGATCTTTTTGATATGAGAGTACAACAATCTTTTGTTAACCTTCGTCCTCGTAAACAGAAAATCCAGACAAATGTATGTAAAACTGCCCTTATGAAAAAAAGTGTTGTTGAAATGGCCCCTAAATTGTATAATAAATTGCCTGATCATATAAAATGTTATAATGCGCAAAAATTTAAACGTACTCTAAGTAATTTTCTTATAAATAAATGTTATTATAATGTCAATGAATTCCTATTTACTAATGATTTAAATAATATGTAATTTAATAATTTTGTGTTTTTTGACTTTGTTTACTTAGTTTAACTGTTATTTTGATTTTTTCATTTATGTTTAATTTTATAATGTGTGAATATACATATACATTCGTATGCTGTAAAAAGCATTTCACGGAGATACTTAAAATTATAATATTGTCAACCTTAATACCTGTGAAAACGAATAAATAATTTTGATTTGATTTGATTTGATTTGATTTGATGGAGTCGAGTAACTGGTACTACTAGCTTGTGTCTGTTCCTAGTATTTACAGAATGAATATCACTTATTTTTGTAAAACTACTTTTATTTTTGTGTACGTGCATTACATTTTCATAAATGTATAGAGAGGCCAAAGTTAATATATTAATTTCCTTGAATTTTTGTCGCAGAGACTCTTTAGGCTTTAGGCCCTCTTCTGTAAAACAAATATAATTTCAGTGTCAGCTGCGTGTCCTCATAGCAAAATACCATACGACATTGAATACACGAAATAGCTAAAGAAACTAGTCTAGCTGTTTCAACACTAGTTAGACTTCTAATCTTTTTTACGGCATATGCTGCAGAACTAAGTCTGCTTGCTAGTTAAGCAGATCGGAGCATCAAGGTCGTTGTATACGGTGCATGCTCCGACTACATGTCTATTAACGCTGGTGTTCCACAAGGCTGTGTGCTATCACCAACTCTGTTTCTTCTGCATATCAATGATATGTTGTGAACTGGTAACATTCATTGCTATGCGGACGACAGCACTGGTGATGCTCTATACAACGGCCGTGCCAATATTTCTTGGGAAAACGTCGCCGAGTACTGCAACAAACTTGTGTCTGAAGTCGAGTCTTTGCTGAACAAAGTCTCGGATTGGGGCGACTAAATCTAGTCCAGTTTAATCCTCAGAAGACACAAGTCTGCGCGTTTACCGCTAAAAAGAACCCCTTTGTCGTATCTCCTCAGTTTCAAGGCACTCCCCTTCTTGCCTCAGCTAGTATCGGAATTCTCAGAGTAGACAAATCGAGTGACGTGCAGTTTCGTGGTCACTTGGAAGAGAAGGCCAAATTGGCCTCTAAGAAGCTTGGCGTGCTCAGCAGAGCGGGACAGTGTTTCATGCCGGCACACCGTCTGCAACTTTACAAGGCGCAGGTTCGGCCTCACATGGAATACTGTACCCATCTCTGGGCAGGGGCTCCCCAGTGCCAACTCCTTCCACTTGACCGCATCCAGCGCAGAGCGGCTCGAATCGTCGACGACCGAGTCCTTTCCGATCGGCTCGATTGATTGACACTGCGAAGAGATGTTGCATCCCTTTGCATTTTCTTTCACATCTACCACGGGGAGTGCTCTAAGGAATTGTTCGGATTAATCCCAGCCGTCAAATTTCACGAACGCACATCGCGGCAGAACTCCCGATACCATCCACACCATCTGGATGATTGGCGGTCCACCATTGTGCGATTTAGAAGATGTTTTCTTCCTCGCACGACTTCCTTGTTGAATCGATTATCATCAGCAATTTTTCCGGACCGATACGACTTAGGGACCTTCAAGAAAAGAGCCTACTCCTTTTTAAACGGCCGGCAACGCATCTGCAATTGCCTCCCTGGTGTTGCGGTTGTTCATGGCCGGCGGTAGTCACTTACCATCAGGTGAGCCGCATGCTCGTTTGCCCCCTCTCCTATATAAAAAAAGTTGAATTATAATGAATAATAGTTGAGTGAAATTAATAGTTGAGAAGCTATAATAGTTAAGATATGAAATTGTACTATACCAACAATAAACTAAGTTACGTTAAGTACGTTTTTATTGGCAACAGGGTCTGAAGGCACGCGGCAACGTGGAGGAGTGGCTGAGCAAAGTGGAAGCGGCTATGTTCGCGTCCGTCAAGCGCTGCATGAAGCTGGCGCTGCGTGACTACCTGGAGCGCCCGAGACCCACCTGGTCAGCACTTCACCCCAACCAGGTCCTTACGTTTAAGAACGGTTTACCGGCCGTCTCGATTTCTTTAAATTAATTGTTCTACTAGTGTTCCCACAATTGTACTTACACGTGTGGGCAACATACTGTTGATAATTAGAATAGAATCATTTTATTAAATATAGATAGCAATAATACTTATTGAAAGTCATTGAAGCTTTACCACTGGTTCGGTAAAAAACCTCTGTCCTGGGAAGAACCAGCTAGAAAGCTTAATTTACAATATATTATTTAATACAATTACGGAAGTGAAAGTTGGGTATGGCAGAAGAAACATGAAAGCAGAATAAATGCAGTTGAGATGAGAGCATTAAGAAGTATGATAGGAGTTAAACTGAGTGACAGGATAAGAAATAGTGAGATAAGGAAACGTGGTGGTCTGAAGGAAGATGTAGTTACAAAAATTGAGAAAGGTATGCTGAGATGGTTTGGCCATGTCGAGAGAATGAATGAAGAACGATTGACGAAAAAAGTGTAAAAGGCGAGTGTGAATGAAAGTGTTGGAAGAGGTAGACCTAGGCGGACATTTCTAGACCAAATCAGGGACGTTTTGAAAAAAGGCCAGGTGAAGAGTACCCTAAACCGTAGAGCATGTATGAAGGGAATAATGAAAGTGGACGAAGCGAAACAAGTATGTAAGGATCGTAGCAAGTGGAAAGAAGTGATCTCTGCCTACCCCTACGAGATAGAGGCGTGATTATATGTATGTATGTACAATTAAGCATGTAACAATTAAAAACAGTATGGAAGCGATCACCTCATTCCCAGGGCTTATTATCAATCATGTACTTTTTACCAGTATAATAACCCTTATTAAACAATTTTTGCTTAATAAAAATCTTAATATTTTTGATAGATACATATACATTGCCCCATAAAGAGATTACTGATTCTTTGGAGTCGCAACTGGTATTAACTAACTTGTGCTTGTTCCTGGTATTTACAGAATGTATGTCACTAATTCTAATAACTAATTCTAGAAATATTTTTTATTTCTCATATATATATAGGGTTCCTTACGATGTTGGTATGCTTTTACCACCGAACAATGTTAAATCAGCGAATAAAATTGCTGTTGATAATAATATTGGTCCCTGGTAGGTTGCTGTAGGTCTTATGTTTGCGAAGCTGCTTGCTGCCGAAGGAAGGTACACCATGTTCTGGTGCATCTTACTTGAGAAAGAGATTGTGGAGGAGAGGCTGCCATGGAACGGATGACGTTAGTAGGGCTGTGTACGCGAAAGCGCTCTCATCGCCCGGCCAATATGTGGCGAAGGTGGAACACCATGAGGATTTAGTCGGTGCGAGCCCGATATAACCCGTCTTAGCCCTCGCGATGCAGGAATGTGTAGGCATTTTCCCATTTTTTATTTTATATAATGGAATATGGATGACAAATGGGCACACAGTTCACCCTATGGTAAGCGGATACTGTAGTCCATACACATCTACATTTTTATTGATTAAGACTAAAATGCAGATCCGCAATCACCCCAGAGGATTAAGATGGAGTGTCTCGTTTTCAGTTAAAGTGGTCTCCGGTTCTCTAAACCTATAATAAGAAATATAGCTTCTATTTTACTTTGGTATTCTGTGAGAGCGTGGTTATTCCTCGATGGAGCCGACCCATTCCTACCACAACCATAATATAGCTGCAGTATGGTTCTGTCACGTAAAATTTCACTTAAATTTCAGGTTTTAATAAAATGCTTTTAATATACAATACTTATATTCTTACTTTAGTCTGAAAACAATGTGATTTTAACTATTTAGGACAGATGATACCGGTTTGGATGTTAGTGTGGAATTGACCTGTGCACAATGTACAATGAACTTCCAGATAGTGCTGATGAAGGGATTTCGATGTGGTAAGGTGTAATATGTACAGGAAATATTTTTCGACGTTGTACCGTGTTTGTTGCCATGGACACGCAGTGCTAGTAGCTTGATGTAAGTGTTGTGTTCGCAGGTGGTGCTAACAGTGTCCCAGATAATGTGGGCGAGGGGCGTCCACGAGGTGCTTGGCGGCGTGGATCCCGTGTCGGGGCTGGCGGAGTTCGAGCGGCGCAGCGTGGGCGCGCTAAACGCACTGGCGGCGCTGACGCGGCAGCCACTGGGCGCGCTGTTCCGCCGCGTACTGTGTGCGCTTATCACCGTAGACGTGCATGCTCGCGACACCGTCGCCAACATGCGCGCCAAACACGTGCGCAGCGCGTGAGTCTACACACGTCACTACACTACCTATCAAAACACCTTACTACACTTCACTACACCAAACTACACTACACCGCACATCACTACACTATATTACACTATACTACACTACACTGTATACATATTAACTTTGGCCTCGCAATATATTTATGAAAATGTAAGGTATATACATAAAAACATAAATAGCTTTAATGGATGCTTTAGGATGTTCATACCTTAAACACTAGAAACAAACATAAGCTTGTAATGCCAGTTACTAAACTCCACAGAATTAGTAATTCATTTATGGGGCAATGTATACGCTTCTACAACAAAATCCCAGAACATATTCAAAGTTTGTCAATAAACAAGTTTAAAGGTTTTATTAAAGAAAAACTGTACAAAAAGGGTTATTATAATATCAAGGCATACATGAATGAAAATAACCCTTGGCAATAAGGTGATCTCCACCATGCTAGTTCCATGAAAATTCGTTTAAAATTGTACAAAAAAATTATTGTTAAGTGAAATTATGCTTAAAAAAGTCCTGTTGGGTTTCTTGTTGGTTCTTCCCAGGACAGATGTATTTTCCTAATCAGTGGTAAATAAAAAGTGACTTTCAATAAGTATTATGTAATTATCAATATTGAATAAAAATCATTCCATTCTATTCTATTCTACTGCACAGCACTACAACATATCACACCACACCATACTACTTTACACCATTCATCAATTACTACACTACACTACACTGCACTACACCACACCATACTACACTATTATTTATAACAGTGGTAGAGCCACGCGGCAGCTTTTGCTGTCGCACGGATGGGCCGGCTCGAACCGGGGAGGTACCACGACCTCACAGAAAACCAGCGTGAAGTAGCGGTTTACCTCTGCGTTTCGCTTGGTGAGTGCAGGTTGCCGGAGGCCCTTTTTACTGGAAATGAGGCATTCCATCTTAGTCCTCATGGGTGACAACGCATCTACATTTTGATTTGTAATAGAGGATAGATGTAGATGTCTATGGGCCGCAGCAACCACTTACCATCAGGTGGACTGTGTGCTCGTTTGTCACACTTAACCGATAAAAAAAAACTATAACACACAACACAGCACTACACTACACTACACTACTCCACACTATACTACAACACACTACAGTAAAGTTGGCACTTTCTAAATCCATAATCCTTCCTAAATCGATATGTGATGCACGCTGTCAAACTGAACATAACTGAAAATGTATTTATTCAACAAAACTTACAACCATAATAGGAATGTCTCTAGTATCGTAAGAGGTTAATCATCATCATAAGTGTTCTAGACTCTTTTTCTGCTTAGAAGTACGTTTAGGTAGCCTCTCACCTATTTCTACCTCCAAGCGGCAGCGCGTGTACTGTTGTGTTCCGGTGTTTGCTTGAGTTTAAGAAGCTGAGGTGACTATGAACTGTAGTAATCACTTACCACCATGCGGACTATAACTTCGTTTATCGCTTGAGTTTTATAAAAAATCATAATCAATACTGAACAAGTTCTTTCACCGCTCAACAAGATTCCCTCTAAGAACGCCTACTGAAAATGCCACATAAATTAAATTGAGAAAAATCCAGAATACCACAAAGTGCAATCCGTGCTTTGTGGCTTTCCTTGGTAGAGACTTATGTTTAGCAGTGGACTTGAAAAGAGGTATAATTATAAACTTGGAGCATGTATGTCACAACAATACTTTTTCCGTATGGGACTGATGACCTAGGCTTAGTTACTGGGTTGCTGATTAATGAAAATATAAGTTAGTTTCTACATTACAGTAGATATTAAAATCATCATTTTCGTCATTAGTCTGTCAATGAACTTGTCATTGCAGTAATTACTTCAACCAATTTTGAAAAATAAATTACAATATTAAGATTTCGCTTAGTCTTATTATTATTACATGCTTATAGGTATGTGCTTCACTCATACATGTTATTATTACATAATGGGGTGTTCTTTGTTATGAGTAATGTCATTTATAGGTTAGAGTATAGGATAATAAAATTTTAATAAAATACTAAAAGTACAAGTTCCGGTATTCCTCAAAATGACTTCCTGAATATCCTTTATAATCTTTCGCAAATACTTTTAGTGCTTTGGTTCCGAATTCGTGAGAGTTGAAGTGTACTATACGTGGTAGAGCCATGCTGTAGCTATATCAGTAGTATAGTTGTAGCACGAATGGGAAGGCTTGATCGGGGGAGGACCACGCTCTCACAGAATACCAGCGTAAAATAGAAGTTTGACACTGCTGTGTTTCGTTTGGTGAGTGTAGAGAACCGGAGACCCTTTTTACTGGAAAAGAGGCGTTCCATCTTAGTCCTCACGGGTGACAACGAGAATAAATGTAGATCTATGGGCTACAGCAACCACTTCCCATCAAGTGGACTGTGTGCTTGTTTGTCATCCGATCCTATAAAAAAACTATATATTCTAAATTATTAATATATATAGTATTATCACCATGCAGGGAGTATAGTATAACTTATACAACTATAAAGTAAGCAGTTGCATTGCTTTGCAGTTCGGATTTCGAGTGGCTGAAGATGATTCGGTACTACTGGGAGGAGGACATCGACAACTGCGTAGCGCGCATGTCCAACGCCAGCTACGTGTACGGACACGAGTACCTCGGTGCCGGAGGTTGTTTTATTCACATAATATTATATAAACCACACATTTAGAGAAATGCAAAAAAAACTTTAATTTCTCCTGTTGTAATTATCGTGCGTAAAAGTTTTTTTGTGTTTTCGTTTCTTTTTATGTAATTATTGCGTAATATTACGATTCATTCATATTGCGATTTTATTGCCAACTTTTGAATATGAGTTTTGATTGATTTCATTGAGGGATTTGGTGGAGGATCATTATAGTATGGGGAGAAATTTGTATGGAGGCACGTATCAAATTTCGCGTTAATGAGAATGGGTCACTAACAGATTTTTGAATAAATTGTAGTGCCGTATCCCCCTTTTAGGAGATAGATTTGTTTTGATAATGCACCGCCCCCCTCCCCTCCCCCCACTGCGGCCGTAGTTGTCAAATACCTTCGAGACGTTGAAATCAATGCTATGATGTGGCCAGCGCGCTCGCCCGAGTTATACTTCATAGAGCATGTATGATATAAGTTTGAAGACAAATAAAACGTGATAAAAAAATTAAACTTAATTAACGTGATAGAGCCACGCTACAGCTTTAATATGGTTGTAGCATGAAGAGGTTGGCTCGACCGGGGAAGCACCCCGCTCTCACAGAATACCAGCGTAAACTAGCAGCTTAATGCTGCTGTTTCGTATGCTGAGTGTAGAGAACCTTTTTACTGGAAACGAAACATTCCATCTTAGTTCTTAAAGGGTGGCAACGCATCTGCATTTTGATTTTTAAATGAGGATAGGTCTAGATATGTATGGGCCACAGCATCCACTTACCATCAGGTGAACTGTCTGCTCATTTATCACCCATATTCAATAAAAAATAAAAAGAGAAACGTCAACATATTTTAAGCGTTATGTTGTGTCGGCAGGCGTGCTGGTAATCACGCCACTGACAGACCGCTGCTACCTGTGCCTGATGGGCGCGCTGCAGTTGGACCTGGGCGGCGCACCAGCGGGGCCTGCCGGCACCGGCAAGACAGAGACCACCAAGGACCTCGCCAAGTCCCTCGCCATACAGTGTGTCGTCTTCAACTGCTCTGAAGGTGTGCTCTTCTAGCTTTCTCACTGAATCATCCAGTCTTTTACTATAAAATAGTTTTATTTTAAATTGTGCAAGCTTCTATGCAGGTCTAGAAAGACCAGTATCACGGCGACCTGTAAGATCTATTATGATCGCTGCTATGGCTACAGTTCTACAAATCTATAGTTAAAGCACTACTAAATGGTAAAGCTAACATCAATAAATAGAGTACGTGAGGGTAATATGGTCATTCGGTAAATTGGTCACTTTCTTATAACTCAAAAACTATAGCCTAATTTACATAGATGGCTTTGCGATACGATCACTCTTCACCAGTCAATCAAATAATAAAGGGTCAAAATGCCGCCGTTTTACGACGCCATTTTGACAGTTGATATTATAGTAAGTACGTGAGGGTAGTAAGGTTACCTTAAGCTTTATCGCCCTATAAAACCAAAATTAGGAGGACAACAGGGACAAAAACACAAAGTCGTATACTATAATGAATATATTAAGAAAAATATTGCAAACAAGCTTTGGAAATAATTAGGAACACTTCGAAAAATCTACTTAAAAAAAAACTAACTATACTACACAATACAAAAATCGACTAAAATATTTACAATAATAGCAATTGTCAAAATAGCGTCGATAAAGGAGAGCCTTTTGACCCTTTATTATTTAATAGACTGATCAAGAGCTATCATATCACAGAGCGTTCTATGCAAACGACGCTGTAGTTTTTGAGTTATAAGAAAGTGACCATATTAACCGGATGACCATATTATCCTCACGTACTATAGTTAGTTTTTTTAAATTGATTTTTCGAAGTGTTGCTAACTATTGCCAAGGCTTGTTTGTTATCTTTTTCTATATTAGTTATAGTATAGGACATTGTGTATTTGTCTCTGTCCTCCTCCTAGTTTTGGTTTTATTGGGTGGCATAGCTTAAGGTGACCATATTACCCTCACGTACCTTAAATGTTAGGTTAATATAGTGATGCAACTTATAAAGGGTGTACCACGGCAAAAGTCGCGGAAGAGGAATGCAATGTAACATGGTAATAATAATTACGATTCTCTGTGTTTAGGGTTGGATTATAAGATGATGGGTCGGTTCTTCTCGGGGCTGGCCACGTCTGGAGCGTGGTGCTGCTTCGACGAGTTCAACCGCATCGATATCGAGGTGCTGTCCGTCATAGCGCAGCAGCTCATCACAATCCGCAACGCCAAAGTGGCCAGGCTCTCCAGGTGAGCGGACTCATCTCACCAAACACTTATATGTATACTACCAGAGCGGCGATTCAGAACAATAACTGTGTCACAGCTGTGCGGGTCTGGGGCGGGTAGCTGCCACGGTAAATATGCCATGCTGTTGTATTTTCATTTACGAGAGGTAATGTTTTTACTTTTTAGGCAATTATGAAATAAAGTTACACAATTATCTAAAATAAACTTCAAGTCACTTCAATTATTGGTCACATTAAACAAAATCAGTGTAAAATTGTCGAAAACAACGTTCGCGGTTTACAAAACAAAGAACCTCTCGTCCGCTCGCAGTTGACTAAAGGAGTTACGGAGAATTGACCGTATTTTAGTGTACAATGCATTAAGGCTACAATGCATTAATATACATAGAAGTCTTTGGATCTGACACTATATTTTTTAACTTACCATAAGTCAGTGCTTGACTTGATTATCCCAACTAGTTGTAGATGGTGATGAATTCCTAGCTGTCTGTGACAAAATCCTATACGTTCTTGTCTTGAAGACACCCAGATTGTATACGAAAGCAGGACTGTCTGCGGCCGTCTTTTCCTTTTTTTTTAAAATAAAATAAAATTATTTTCAAACATTTCCAAGTTATAATATTGTGTTTTAAATTTTTTAAAGTAGTAAATTGAAACAGGGTGGTATTGTAATAAATAGAATTAAGTGTTACTCTGCGGAAATCCATAATATTAACGACTAGCTGTTCCTCGCGACTTCGCCCGCATGTAGTTTAGGGTTTTAGTTATGTTGCGCGGAATCCTAACTCTTTTTCTAAAATATAAGTAGCCTGAGTTACTCCTTATAACATCAGCTATCTGCCAGTGAAGGTCCCATCGAAAAGACCAGCCGTTTCTGAGATTAGCCGGAACAAACAAACAGACAGACAGACAAACAAACAAAAACCTTAAAATTTGTATTTTTGTTATAAGTATTTATTTTATTATACAACGTGTTAGAGCCATGCTGCAGCTATATTATGGTTGTAGCACGAATGGGTCGGCTCGACCGGGGAAGGACCACGCTCTCACAGAAAACCAGCGTAAAATAGCAGCTTAACGCTGCTGTGTGTCGTATGGTGAGTGTAGAGAACCGGAGACCCTTTTTACTGGCAAAGAGGCATTCCATCTTAGTCCTCACGGGTGACAACGCATCTGCATCTTGAGTCTTTATTGAGGATAGATGTAGATGTCTATGGGTCACAGTGACCACTTACCATCAGGTGGACTGTGTGCTCGTTTGTCACCCGATCCTATAAAAAAAAGTACCGTATATTCTTTCATATGCATTTAGTAAAAAAAAATATTTTGACATTACATTCAGACACTTCAATTTTATTTATTTGTATGGATGTAATTAATTCATTTTAGCTGAGATCCGCCTAATAAAATAAAATTATGTGTCTTACATATGTAGTTTGAAGAGCTAAGTCAACTTAGCAGTCAGCCACCGCAGAGTCTACTTCACCTGAGGATGCTTTGTGTAGATGCGAAACACGTGTCTCGTACTCGTATGGTCGACGGCGAGGTGTCTTATCTAGTGCAGTAGTAGTTAATGGTGACGGGGATAGTGCATGCAATTTAGGGAAAGCGGGAGGTGCTCTCGAAACTGGGCAAGACACTTCATTTTTTATTACGTGAATATTAGCTAACTAAGTTTGCACATTTTTAATTGTCGGTAATATTTCGGACAGGTTCATGTTCGAGGGCCGCGAGATAAAGCTGGTGCGCACGTGCGCGGCGTTCATCACCATGAACCCGGGCTACGCGGGCCGCACCGAGCTGCCTGATAACCTTAAGGCACTCTTCCGGCCCATCTCCATGATGGTGCCCGATTACGGTAATACCTCCTTTTTATTTGTGTAAGTTGCTATGCAGGTTTAAATAGACAAGTATCACTGCGACCTGTAAGATCTATTGTGATCGCTGCTATGGATATAGTTCACAGCTAAGCCCTATGTCTTCAATGAATTGAAGGAGTTGGTTATCTGTGAGCAATTTTACTTCTTCTGGACTAAGTACGTAGTTTCTCAGATGAGTCTTACGTTTGAGCATGAAAGGTCCACAATCAGTAAGAATGTGCAGAGGTGTCTTCCGTCAAGGAACGGAATCTACCTTCTACCTCCATACGTCCTTAGTTGCTCATTTGTTGCAGTGAAATATAGCGGATCGATAGGCTGAACTGCCATAGGCATAGCTCAAAGAAGCGATAACTGTTGGTGAAAAATATTTTCGAGTGACAGACTCATACCAGGCGGTCGAGATAATGAATATGATGAATTTGTAACATTTACTTCATGTAAAGATATAGATTATTTTCCACTGAACTCAACAGAAACAAAAGAAATATAGCGGTGTATTCATACGGAAATGCCAAACAAACGCTAAAGAATGCTGATGGCATTGCTAGTGCGAGGGTGGCGCTGGTGGGTGATCCAAGACGTCTTCTTGGCACAACGACGAGAGTTTCAAGTTATGCATAGATTTGTTACGTATCATGAAAAGCCAGTGAGGCATACGATGGAGTAGGGTAAAATTGCTCATTTCTTATACACAGCATTTCTAAGAAGAAAGGATATTATTAAATTAGATGACTATTTAAAAGATAAGTATGCGTGGACATGATGAGCTTCCTTAAACTTAATTTCTTTTTTTGGGTGTATTTTTCTTATCTTACTTAGGTCTTTTTTTTACTTAGGTATATTTTTAAAGCTGTTGGGAGTGAAATAGTCTAATTCTAAGTATCTTGGCGCTTCTTCTCACAAGGTATCCCCGTGGTAATGACTAGTTGAAGCGAATCCCTAGCATTTGACTTTAAAAAGTACTTTGTAAAGGCCCTTATAATAATAGGACGGGGGAAAAGTTTCTACGTATTTAGTTTGCCTAAAATTGAAAAAAAATGTCTTTGGTTGTACTGTTTGTATCTGGCTGTTTTTAATATCAATATATATATAACATTAAGAAAAAGAAAAATAAAAAACATGCGTGAGTGTCGCGGAACACTCAGTTGGAACGAAGTTCTTTTCGTAGTATATTATTATTATTGATAAAAGTATTATATTATTGATTAACAAATACTAATGAGTGAATTACTAGCGTCTTTCATGGCCAGTAAGAAAAAGTGCGAGGGAGATGGATGTTATTCCATGTCTACTACGTCATAAGGGGTCGTGACGGGAAAATCTTACACGTTTTCTCGCCTAGCCCCCATTCGCCAAATTAAACTAATCTAACGAAGAAATTCGACACATTCTGAAGTTTATTTATTACTAAAAAGGGAAAAATGCGGCTCAAGCCGCGAAAACAATTTGTGGCGTTTGGGGACCTAATGCAGTGTCAGTAAGAGTAGCACAAAGTTAGTTCAGAAATTTTGATGTCAAAGATGCAGCTAGCTCTGAGCGCCCTCATACGGGTAAAGTTGATGTCATTTTTGAAAAAGTTAGCAAGATCGGCATATTAGTAGTTACGACATAGCCAAGGAATTGAGGATTCACCACAAAACAGTTCTGAACCATTTGAAAAAGTCTGATCAAAGGGTAGTCAAGCTCCACAGACTGTAGTAAAACCCGGATTAACGCGCAGTAAGGTGAAGCTGTGTGTGTGGTGGGATTGGAAGGGCATCGTTTATTATGAGCTTTTGCCGCCGAGCAAAACAATCAATTCGGATATCTACTTTCAGCAACTAATGAGACTCCAGCAAGAAATTGAGAAAAAACGGCCGGAATTGATCAACAGAAAAGTAGTGGTCGTCTCTCATCATGGTTACGCCAGACCACACACATCTTTGGCCACTCAGCAAAAATTGAGAGAGCTTAGTTAGGAAGTGTCAATGCATCCACCATATAGTTTGATTTTCACCTGTTTAGGTCTCTTCAGAATTCTTTGGGTATTGTTAGGTTAACATCAAAAGAGAGACTGTCAAAACTATTTGTCGCATTTTTTTGATCAAAAATCCCAAGATTTCTACAGCAGCGGGATTATGTCACTATCTAAAAGTCCTTCCTAAATTCATGACAAGTGTATATATTTATTTGTGCGTTGAACAGGTGCTTCATCCGATTGTTAATGTTGACGTTGATTTGTGCAGCGCTGATCGCGGAAGTCATTCTGTACTCGGAGGGCTTCGAGTCGTCCAAGGTGCTGGCGCGCAAGATGGTGCTAATGTACAAGCTGTCTAGCGAACAGCTCTCCAAGCAGGACCACTACGACTTCGGAATGCGCGCCGTTAAGAGCGTGCTGGTGATTTACTTTTGCTTTGACGATATTCTGAATGAACAGTTGATATTTATAGTATGGTTGTAGTCCGAATAGGTAGGCTCGACCGGTGAAGATCATGCTCTCACAGAATATCAGTGTAAAATAGCAGCTCAATTCTGCTGTGTTTCGTATGGTTAATGTAAAAAATTATTTGAAAAAAATTAAAACGGTATTCTACAGCCAAGTCTTTGCATTTGAGCAACAAAATGAAGAACTCTTCTAATAAAATTAAAATGAAATGAAGTATAATTTCAAGTAAAGACTAGAAATGAGTTGGGAGGTGACTTGAACTTTAGGTCTAGTCAGTTTGAATAGCCTATCATGTAGAGGATGTCATGGGGGTCATGGCTGAATAGGGGCAAAAAGTTCTCATTACACTCCTAGGTGGTCCAAATGCCCAAAAACCAAAAAAAAAATTCTAATTTCGGCTATAACTGCACCTCCTTCGGAGGTTGTTACACAGTCTTTACTTCCCGCATCCCACATGTTACTAGCGAAACTGGTTAGGTCAACTCTAGCAATTCAAACTACCACTTAAGTTTTAACAACAAATTAAATAAATTAAATCAGGACGTTGCAATGGTTTTGAGAATATTTTAGCAATCTTAACTACTAAGTCACTGAATTCTTCTCCTGCTGTCGCCGAATCATTACTTAAACATAATGTAAATTTGTGTACAAAGAATTTTACATTTCATAAATTATCATCAAAAGATATTGTAAACTATTTTAAAACTATTGATGTTAATAAAACTGCGGATCTGTGGGGGAGTTGCGTTAAAGTTATTGCGTTTATGATAGATAACTAACTGTTATTTTTAATACTAGTAACTCACACACTCATCGCTTATATATCTTTGCTAACTTGTATCTGGGTTCTAAAGGATCCTAAATGTACTTACTAACTCCTTATAAATCAATATCAGTTGTCGTACCTATTCATAGAGTAAGGGTGACAAAGGATCACACAGTCCACCTGATAGTGGATGTTGTGGCCCATACATATCTACATCTGTCTTCGATTAAAAATCAAAATGTAGATATGTTATCATCCCTGAAGACTAAGATGGATAGTCTCGTCACCAGTAAAAGGGGTATCCGATTCTCTACACTTATACGAAACACAGCATGAAGCTGCTATTTTACGTTGGTATTATGTGAGAGCGTAGTCCTACTCCGACCGGGCCGACCTATTCGTACTGCAACCATTATATAGCTGCAGCGTGGTTGTGGAATCTCTCGTCGGTGGTTGGAATATACTATGGTGTTTTATAAAAACACCATAGTATATTCCAACCACCAGGGCACTTTACGAATTTTTCTACCCCTAGGGCGGCGACACTTTGGAGTGAATATTTGACAGATTTCATAGCGGGGGAATTTAATTTGTTACAAGGGTTTAGAGATAAATGTGTTTTTCTGATAGATATGGTTATATTTTATATTAATTATATTAAAAATAGATAAACTGAACTACGGATAGTCGGAAAAGTAAAAGAATTAAAAAAAAAAAGATAAATATGTGTAAAAAAAATTAAAGATTACTGCACTGAGACATAGTGTTGTGTGCTATCTACATACACTAGAAACCGATTTTTTTTAAAATTAAAACTCTTCTTTTCCATAACAATGACACAGTGTGACCATCTGCGTAACAAATGAGTTCACCTTAGTCCCAACTAGCGACATCTGGTTACCGTAAGAATATTAGCTCCCATTATTAACACAGAAACCAAAAGCTCAACAATCTAACGATCAAGCTCGAAGGACTAAAGACAATAAACCACTAATGCTTGTAAAATTAAAAGTCTTTTACATATTACTGCTATCATTTTCCAATGGATCATATTGACCGCTCACCAGGTGATGGCTGGTGCATTGAAGCGTGCTAACCCTGATCAGCAAGAGGAACTGACGCTGCTCTGCGCGCTAAACGACAGCAACCTGCCCAAGTTCCTGGCAGCTGACGCGCTACTCTTCGCCGGCATTCTCTCCGACCTCTTCCCCGGACTGGAGCTGCCCATTAGAGACTATGGTGTTATGGAGGAAGCCATCAGTAAGTGTTGAAAGTAATTAGTAACAACAGATAATAATTCGAAATACCACGCATTCGAATCAAACGGCTTGTTTCGTTGTTCATAATGAGTACAGGAAAGAAGTGGAATAATCTGCCAGCACCTGACTTTCCGTGTAGTAGCGATGTAAGTGTATACGTGGTAGAGCCATGCTGCAGCTATATTAGTAGTATAGGTGTAACACGAATGGGTCGGCTCAACCGCAGAATACCAGCGTAAAATAGCAGCATAATGCTGCTGTGTTTCGTATGGTGAGTGTAGGGAACCGGAGGCCCTTTTTACTGGAAACGAGGCATTCCATAACTGTGTGTCACGGGTGACAACGCGTCTCCATTTTGTTTGATGTAGATGTCTATGGGCCGCAGCAACCACTTATCATCAGGTGGACTGTGTGCTCGCATGTCATCCTTATCCTATAAAAAATCCACTACCCCATAACCCCATATCGTCACCTGGGAGTCGTAAGAGGCGACAACGGGAAACTGAAAAGAAAGGGCAGCAGCATCTTCCCGATAACAACTCAAAATTTTAAAAAAACTGCGGTTGCCAACCCGGCTGACATATGTGGCAAGTATGGCGAAATTCCCCCTATGAGGCAATCTATGGGGAGGCTTATGTTCAGCAACGAACTATTATAAGCTGTAATGGATGGATGGACCTTTCCATCCGACAAGAATGTAGGAGTCTGTAAGTCAAGAGTGAATAGGCTTTTGATAAGCTAAGTCTGTTCGCTTTACCATCTTTGACTGCATCACCACTTACAGTCATATTAGAAAATACGAAAGCGGCACTGAAAATTTCGGGAATCAAGAAAGTGACACAACATTACTATTTAAAAATGTATTTATTGCTTTTTGAAGTATTCTCCGCGAAATTTTACACATTTTTCCATACTATGGAAGCAATCATTGGAGCAACCATTCCATTCGGAAGTTGGGGTCTCCAAAATGGCCGTTTTGTAAGCGTCCACAGCTTTTTCATGTGATGAAAATCTCTGCCCACGCAATTTATTCTTTATTTTAGGGAAAGTATAGAAATCATTAGGGCTTAGGTCGGGGCTGTACGGCGGATGGTCTAATAATTCTATGTTTTCTTGCTCTAAAAACTCTTTTGTTCTGTGTGCGGTGTGAGAACTCGCATTGTCGTGATGGAGGATGATGCGGCGGTTGCAGTTCTCTTTACGGAGTTCAGAAACGACCTGTGGCAAACAAATGCTAGCATACCATTTTGCATTAACCGTTCTTTGTCCCTCAAGAGGAATAGTCGTAACATGGCCGGTTTTGGAGACAAACGTGGCCACCATTTTTTTGCAACACTCCGTGAACGAACAATTTTTGTTGGCTCATTTTCGAACACCCAAACTCGTGACTGGTTTTTTGTTTCGGGTTCGTACGCGTATATCCAGGATTCGTCACCAGATACGATGTTGTGTACAGCATTTGAGGATTCTGCGTGGAATCTTTCGAGAGTTCTGATGCACCAAGAACGCGAGCCGCTTTTTGCTCTTCACAGAGCGAATGCGGTATCCATCGGGAATACAAGTTTTTAACACCTAATTGTTCATGCAATATTATTTGTATTTGACTCATGCCAATGTCTAAAGTTGCTTGAATTTCGCGGTATGTCACATGTCGATCTTCTTCAATCAGCTTACGCACAGCATCAACGTTTTCTTGGATGACTGCAGTTTTTGGACGACCTTGACGGGGATCATCACTGAGCTTGACACGTCCACGTTGAAATTCAGCAAACCAGCGATAAATTGTGGTTTTGGATGGGACTTTATCACCAAATACAGAAATCATCCAGTCAACACACTGTTTTTGTGTTAAACCACTTCGAAAGTCATAATAAATCATCGCTCTCGAATTTTCTCGAGTCAACTCCATTTTCTCAACGACTAAACAAGTTTGATAAAACCTTGTGACAAGACCGAGAATCTTTTTTTAAATAAATAAATGGTATTCGATTTTTAAAACCACGGAAATTTCAATTAAAAAGATTTTAATATGAGAGGAACAGTGGAAATATTCTATTCCCGATACTTTTAGTGCAGCCCTCGTAGTCAAGCACTGAGTTATAATAGTGAAAAAAGAAAATATTGCCGGCGCAAGAGAATCCATCACCGTTATCCTCTCGTGGTTGTCATTGCATACGTCTATTTGAAATGGTGAAAACATTGCACGTTCCCAATATAGGTATACCACATGTAAAATACCCAGGCAAGCGCGGAATGCGATTATGGAAAATTATCCTCAAAATTACGGAACTGGTCTTTATATAGCTGTGGGCTGTTACAGGTTGCTTCTTAAATGTATAGATAATAGATATTTTTAATAAGCAGGAATAAAAAATAAAAAATCAGCTTTGAAAAAAAAATATTAGTATTTTTTTTTTAAATGAAAACTTTAAAATCGTTGTGATTTGAAACTCGACGAAACATAAAAGTGACACTAGAAAGAGATAAACATGTACTTCTATAGGATTTATCCCGCGAGAGAATGAGATAAAATACAGTGTATTAAGCGACAGTAGCACAGAATAAATAAACAGTAGCCTAATGACAGGGTGCAGACCGCAAACTCAAAAGGTTGTGGGTTCGATGCGTCATTCGATTACTGTTGTCTCCTAACACGAGCATTTTAAGCTTACCAGTAGCGACTAAAGGGAATATAATAATTTTACTATTAACATTGCAGCAATGCTATCATTGCTAGTTTAAAAAAGTACAATGTTTCCTATTATTATCTAGGTCTCCATCTTGTGCGGTGCTTTAAAGACTGTCAATATATATTTGAACCGTTGAAAGGAACAACATAAAAAACAAATTTATTAAATAAATAAAATTAACCATATTGAATTAAGTTATCATATCCAATTAGCGAGCTATGGAGAGGGCTATGCTCGGAGTTTCTCTGCGTGATAAACTTAGGAATGAGGATATCCGCAGTAGAACCAGAGTAACCGACATAGCCCAACGGATTAGTAAGCTGAAGTGGCAGTGGGCCGGCCATATAGCTCGAAGAACCGACAACCGATGGGGAAGAAAGGATCTCGAGTGGCAGCCTCGTACCGGTAGGCGAAGTGTAGGGCGTCCCCCCACGAGATGGAGTGACGACCTGGTAAGACATGCAGGAAGTCGATGGATGCAGGTGGCTCAGGACCGTGTTTTGTGGCATTCTTTGGGGGAGGCCTATGTTCAGCAGTGGACTTGTGAAGGGCTGTAATGATGATGATGATGATCCAATTATTCATTCATAAGCCACGATTTCGTAACTTCAGGCCATTTAGCATCTATTTTACGTACCACGTTGAGAGTCCAATCATTTTTTGTTCGATAAAATGACTTTACCTATAGAATGAAGTAGATGGCGAAAGGAAATAATCTTTTGATTTATTACACTAATTTAGTCTAAAAATAGGGAAAGTAACATTTATTACCTTTAAAAACTTATCTTTTTATTTTATATTTTATGCTGCACTTATGGTTGAAAATGATCGTATTAAATACTTAAATCATTTGTCGTAAAATATTTTTATTTTATTTTTCATTTTATTTTTGATGGTTTCACTTCTTCCGCGTGTGAACTGTATACTCATACATATTTTTTTAAAATTATTGTAACATCGTTGGAAATAGATATCAGCTAGTATTTCGTATGTTAAGTGTAGAGAACCGGAAACCCTTTTACATTCACGCCACATACATTCGGAATCCCGTTTTTCCCGCAAAATTTCGAATGGAAAACTACTGTACATGTGTGAATCTCGAAACGGAATCCCGAAACGGAATTCCGTAGGTATGTGGCCGGCCTTTTACGAGTACTATAAAAAAAAATGCAGCGCGCTCTCGCTCGGGCCCATCGATTGTTCAGTGTTAATTTTATTTGCTCTATGCATTGGTTATATCAATTTATTCTGTCATTGTGTAGTTGTTGTTAATGCATTAAATTTAATATAGCCAATATGGGGTATTGGCTATTCTTACAGTGCATGTAAGAATAGCCAATACCCCATATCATACCGTGGGTGTCGTAAAAGGCGACAGAGGGAAACAAAGCAGGAGATGGGCAGCAGCGTCTTCCTAATAACGACTAAAAATAAAAATAGAAACTGCATTTGCCAACCCGCTTGCCAAGCGTGGCAACTTTGGCAAATATCCCTCAAATCTGAACCTAAACTGTGAACCTATTAACTAGATACATTTGTATATTTAGTACATGATTAATAATTTCGCAGAGAGCGTTCTCTTGGAGCGCAACTTGCAGGTGGAAGAGTGCCAGGTGCGAAAGGTGATCCAGCTGCACGAAACCATGATTGTGCGCTGGGGCGTCATGCTCGTGGGCCCCACCGGCGGCGGCAAGACTACAGTGCTGCATGTGCGTATGATCTATTTGGAGGCGAGATACTGGTTACTTTTAAAAAGGACAGTTTACTGACGATACACACTTGTCTATGACTAAATGCACAAAGCTTTTTAAATAGCTCTTGAAATTACGCGGGTGGTTAAAAAGTTTCATTTGGTTGAAAACTGGACGCGCACTGTCTTGAATTAATAAAAATTCTTTAACCATAAATTGTCACGTAAGAAAAAAATATGCGAGGTGGCATTACATCGTGTAATCAATGGCTCAATATACGGATACTTAGGTTGGATACAACAGATCGTAACAACTTGCTGTTTATTTAATTCAATACATGATTGAAACCAGAGAGGAGATCAAACATATGCCGCCTTAGATTTATCCTCTCTGAATATATCTTTATCTTTGATTATGATATGATTTGAATAATGGGTTGTTTTCTGCAACTCCACGTTAAAGCGCATATTTTCAATGGGGGCAAGTATGAAACCATCCAATAACCTAAGTCCAGTAAAACTTTGACATACCTAGGACTACCTAGGATAACAGTGCTAGCTCCCCGATATTTTCTTTTGTATAGGAGAGGGGGCCAACGAGCATGCGGCTCACCTGATGGTAAGTGACTACCGCCGCCCATGAACAACTGCAACAACAGGGGAATTGCAGATGCGTTGCCGGCCTTTTAAAAATGAGTAAGCTCTTTTCTTGAAGGTCCCTAAGTCGTATCGGTCCGGAAAAATCGCTGGTGGTAAATTATTCGACAAAGTACGTGTCGTACGCGGAAGAAAAGCTGGTCAGCTAGTGATCCTCAAGGTACCGCATGAGCTGACAGTTAATAATGGATTCCATTATTTTGGAGAACAAGGAGGTGATGGTAATAGGTCTGTAGTTAGATAGGTCTGAGCGGTTGCCTTTTTTAGGGATCGCGTGGCCAAAAGCCGTCTGCCATGATATCGGGACTACGTCTTGGGAGTAGGAGTACCGGAAAAGACGCGCTAGAACCGGTGCCAACCCCGGAGCACACGTCCTCAGCACAATTGGGGGGATTCCGTCAGGCCCTCTCGACTTGTGGATGTCCAGAGAGAGGAGTGCTTTGCGAACCGAGCGCTGTTATATTTAACTCTTAGCTCGGGGAGTGGTGACCTCGGACAGACCAGCAAAATATGAACTAACGTTTTCTCTCATCCCATGCACGTCTTGCAGTTGGGACTGTCTGTAACATTTGTAATAAATATATATTTGTTATAAGTACCATTTCCAATTATTGCACTTTACATTTACGATGCGCAGCGTGACAAAAATCATTAAGATGCTTAGTAAGGTATGGTGGTATGTTAATGATGTTCACTTGCCAGATTTAAGTCGAGCCCACAAGTTGCAAATTACGTCATCACTCATTACAACGTTACCGTTACCATCTACAGCCTGTTAATGTTCACTGCCCTAGATTGCTTCACCGGGGAGCTATTTTCCATAGTTGTCACGCTTGGCAAGCGGTTTGGCATTCGCAGATTTTCTAATTTTTAGTCTTGATTTGTTTGCCCTCTGTCGCCTCTTACGTCATTACATCGTATCGAAGTGCAATCCTGAACACATGTCTACTGCTTGCTTCTTAGGCAGGCAGGTGGGTTGCCGCAGTATTTTATTAATCATTTTGAAAGATTTGAGGAGACATTAGGAAGTTATTAACTGTGCGCGAGATATTGCAGTGCCAAACGTACAGAGTGCCCCTAATTCACATATTCAGAATTTAGTGATTCCAACAATGTTTTTAAATAAGTGTTTAGCTCGCTGCCTACGAAGTCTATAAAAGTTTATCAGGTGCGTGGCAACTATGGCAAAATCCTCCTAATGAGACTATGTATGGAGGAATCCTATGTTCCTTTTTACAGGAAACGAGGCATTCCCTTATTTGTATTCAGGGGTGTCAACGCATCTGCATTTTGATTCTTAATCGAGGATAGATGTCGGTGCCTATGAGCCACAGCATCAACTTAGCATCAAATGGACTGTGTGCTCGTTTGTCACTCTTATTCTTTAAAAAAAGGGTTCAGGACTTTTATATGCCGTGATAGATTTATACTTTATTGTTTATTTCATATATTACATTTATTAATTAAATATTACATTACGGTACAATTAACAATTCGACCTAGGACCTAACTTAGAGCAAAGTACGACCCGATTATAGCGTGACCCCGCCCCAACCCAGTTTCTAACATAGTAAACAACTCGTATGAGAAACCAATCAAAACTGTATGCGGCGACGTTACTACTATGTATACTCTGTATGTTAATTGGGGAGGAGTTGAGTCTTGTGGATACCACTGTTTTTCTCGGTATTACTATTGACGCGAAATTTGAATGGGGCCCCCATATATCTAAATTAGCAAGCAGACTTAGTTCTGCAGCATATGCATATTTTTTTAACAGTGGTAGAGCCACGCGGCAGCTTTTGCTGTCGCACGGATGGGCCGGCTCGAACCGGGGTGGTACCACGACCTCACAGAATACCAGCGTGAAGTGGAGGTTTACCTCTGCGTTTCGCTTGGTGGCCGGAGGCCCGTTTTACTGCAAATGAGGCATTCTATTTTAATCCTCACGGGTGACAACGCATCGGCATTTTGATTTGTAATAGAGGATAGATGTAGATGTCTATGGGCCGCAGCAACCACTTACCATCAGGTGGACTGTGTGCTCGTTTGTCACCCTTATCCTATAAAAAAATGCTGTAAGAAAGACTAGAAGTCTCACAGATGTTGAGACAGCTAGATTAGTGTATTTTAGTTACTTTCATAGCGTAATGTCTTATGGAATTTTGCTATGGGGTAATGCGACTGATATTGAAGCTATATTTGTTTTGCAAAAGAGAGCCGTTCGGGCGATTTATAATCTAAATTGTAGAGTCCCTCAGACAAAAATTTAAAGAAATAAATATAATAACTTTGGCATCGCAATATATTTATGAAAATTTAATGTATGTACATAAAAACATCATTACATTACAGCCCTTCACAAGTCCACTGCTGAACATAGGCATCCCCCAAAGAATGCCACAAAGCACGGTCCTGAGCCACCTGCATCCATCGACTTCCCGCACGTCTTACCAGGTCGTCACTCCATCTAGTGGGGGGACGCCCTACACTTCGCCTACCGGTATGAGGCCGCCACTCGAGAACCTTTCTTCCCCATCGGTTGTCGGTTCTTCGAGCTATATGGCCGGCCCACTGCCACTTCAGCTTACTAATCCGTTGGGCTATGTCGGTTACTCTGGTTCTACTGCGGATATTCTCATTCCTAAGTTTATCACGCAGAGAAACTCCGAGCATAGCCCTCTCCATAGCTCGCTGAGCGACCTTGAGCTTTCTCATACGGCCAGCAGTGAAGGACCACGTCTAAGTTCCGTAAGTCATCACTGGCAACACGCACTGGTTGTACAATTTCGTTTTAAGATTTTGAGGTATGTCTGACGAGAAGATGTGTCGTAGCTTCCCGAACGCTGCCCAGCCGAGTTGAATCCGTCGATTGACCTCTCGGTCGAAGTTGGACTTACCTAGTCGGACTATTTGTCCCAGGTAAACATACTCGTCAACAACTTCGAGCTTAGTGTTCCCAACAACTACCGGCATAGGTGTGACATGGACGTTAAACATGATCTTTGTTTTGTCCATGTTCATCTTAAGACCTATCCGTTGGGAAACACTATTGAGGTCATTGAGCATAGTGCTTAGGTCTTCCAGCGATTCTGCCATAAGGACTATATCGTCGGCAAATCGAAGGTGAGTGATGTACTCGCCATTGATGTTGATACCGTATCCTTTCCAGTCCAGAAGCTTGAAAACGTCTTCCCATGCAGCGGTAAAGAGTTTCGGGGATATGACGTCACCCTGTCTTACACCTCTCTGCAATTGGATAGGTTTCGTACTCTGGTTCTGTACTCGGATAGCCATCGTAGCCCTACTGTACAAGCACTTCAACACTTCGATATATCGACAGTCAACTTGGCACCGCTGAAGGGACTGCAGCACCGCCCAAATTTCGACGGAATCAAAGGCTTTCTCATAGTCCACATACGCCAGACATAGTAGCAAATTGTACTCTTCGGACTTCTGTACAATTTGCCGAAGGGTATGTATGTGGTCTATGGTGCTAAAGCCCTTTCGGAAACCGGCATGTTCGGGAGGCTGGAAGTCGTCAAGTCTGCGCGCGAGACGATTCGTAATGACTCTCGAAAACAGCACGTAGACGCGGCTCAGAAGGGAAATCGGTCTGTAGTTCTTCAAGAGAGCGTTGTCACCTTTCTTGAAGAACAAGACCACCGCACTTCTACTCCACGCCTCCGGTGTAATGCCACCATGGAGGACGGAATTAAAGAGCTTCTGAAGGACTTCAAGTACCGGTTTTCCACCCGCTTTCAGAAGCTCCGCTGTAATTCCATCCTCGCCTGGGGCCTTACCGTTTTTAAGGTGCTGGAGAGCCATTCTAATCTCGCTCAGACTGACGTCCGGGATATCTTCGGAATAGTGTCGGATGAGACTCGCTCTTGGATCGTTACTCACACTTGCGTGTGGCTCCAACGATGACGTGTACAACTGCCCATAGAACCTCTCAATCTCACTCAAAATCTCAGGTGTCCCGGAAACGATGCTGCCACATTCTGTCTTCAGCTTTGACAGTTGGCTCTTTCTGGCAGACAGATCTCTGGCAAAGACTTTGGAGCCTTGGTTCCGCTCGATCGCTTCTTCAATACGAGCTGTATTAAAGTTGCGTAAGTCCCGCCGCATGCATTTGGAGATCTGTCTGTTCAGATGCCTGTATGCTGTCAAGTCTGTTGAAGAATGTAGCTTCATCTCCCGTCTAACAGCCATGAGATTAAGAGTGTGATCGGAGAGTTTTTGTGTTCTTCTGCGGCGGGTCTTGCAGAACTTAGCTCCGACCGCATGGACAGTTTCCACGAGCTTGTCATTCATATCGTCCACTTCATTGCAGTCTTCTAGGCACTGAAAACGGTTTTGTAACTCGAGCTGAAAGGTTTCGGGACTTTGGAACAAAGCACGAGGGGTCGGAGCGTTGACTTCATTAGACGAGACCTCTCCAACTTAACGTTTAGGTTCATTGTGCCTCTAACCATTCGGTGATCGCTACCAGTTTTCACCCTCGCGATCACGGAGACATCACTGAACAGTTGTCGTCTGGTCGTCATAATGAAGTCAATCTCATTTTTTGTGGAACCGTCGGGGCTCGACCAGGTCCACTTCCTGTGGGGCCGCTTCTGAAAGAAAGAGTTCTTCATAAGGAGTCCCTCTTTCTCCATGAAGTCGGCCAGCTGCTGGCCCCTTGGGTTCCGTTGCCCTATTCCAAATTTCCCTACTTTCAGCTCACCGTTCTCTCTTGTGCTTAGTTTTGCGTTGAAGTCTCCCATTAACACCGTATATTGGGTTTTTGAGGAATGCATGGCTCTAGAGATATCCTCATACATTTCCTCCACCTCCTCATCGGGGTGTGCCGAGGTTGGTGCGTAAACCTGTATGACCTTCAGCGAATACCGTTTGGTGATTCTGAGTATAAGGTACGCAACCCTCGTCGACACACTCCCGATCTTTACAACGTTGTTAACGAGAGACTTGTGGACGATAAATCCGACACCTCCTTGAGACAGATGGTCGCCCTCCCGGTGATAGAGCAAGTTGCCGGATTCTAGGATTACCGTGTCCTCCCCCTCTCTTCGGACTTCGGATAATCCTATAATATGCCAGCGCAACTTGTCTATCTCTTCTTCCAGCTCCACAATCTTCTCGTCAGTCCTCAGGGTGCGTGCGTTGTACGTTGCCAGGTCGAGTCGTCTAAGGTGGCAACCGAACCTCTACCGGAGATTCTTAGCACCCCCTGCCCCGCCGTTACCATGGTCGCCACCGTAGCCGGGAATAGCGGGGCCGCCGGGGACTGGGGGCCGTTTCTTTGTTACTGTCATTCATAGGGGGGTATTTGCCATAGTTGCCACGCTTGGCGAGCGGGTTGGCAACCGCAGTTTTTTTATTGTAATTTTGGCTATTATCAGGAAGATGCTGCTGCCCATCTCCTGCCTGTTTCCCTTTGTCGCCTTTTACGACACCCACGGGAGGATATGGGGTAGTGCATATTCTTGACCACCACTACACGGCAAAAAAAACATAAATAGCTTTAATAAGAATAAGGATGTTCATACATTAAACACTAGGAACATACATAAGCTTGTAATGTCAGTTACAAGACTCCATAGAATTAGTAATTCACTTATAGGGCAATGTATACGCTTTTACAACAAAATCCCAGAACATGTTCAAAGTTTGTCAATAAACAAGTTTAAAAGTTTTATTAAAGAAAAACTGTACAAAAAGAGTTATTATAATATGAAGGAATACATGAATGAAAATAACCCCTGGGAATAAGGTTAATAGCACACACCCCTGGTTCTATGAAAAATCATTTAAAAATGTATAAACGAAATTATTGTTAAGTGATGTTTGAAAAAAAATCCCGCTGGGTTTCTTGCTGGTTCTTCCCAGGACAGAGGTATTTTCCGAACCAGTGGTAAATAAAATAATGACTTTCAATAAGAATTATGTAATAATCAATATTGAATAAAAATTATTCTATTCTATTCTATTCTATACTACTCTTCAATACTTTGATAAATTTATAGAAATTGCCGTTTACCGGTATCGCCGACAATAACAAATATGGGAGTTAGGTAAAAAACTACACTTACATATTATTTATTAAGTACGTGCCCTGCTATTGTAGCACGCACCGCTCATGGATCGTATATTTTTTAATCTATAAAATAAATAATATTCTGTTTGCAATGTCAAAATAACAGCTTTTTATTTAATGCATATGAAAGCATATACGACACTTATAACAACAAAAAACAATTTTTAAAATTTTTGTCTATCTGTCAGTTAATTTCGGATTTCCGAAATGGCTGGACCGATTTTGACGGGACTTTCACTGATAGATAGCTGATATAATAAAAAAGTAACTTAAGCTACATTTATTTAAAAAAAGAATTAGGGTTCCGGGCCAAAAAAGACCATGAAATTCAGTCATAATACACGCGGATGAAGTTACGGGGAACAGCTAGTAATACATAATATGTATATATGTTAAGTATTTTTTTTTAATTAGAATTTATTAAGTGGCGAAGCTTGCGAAGTCACTTATTGATTTCACGATGTCTGTCCGTCTGATCGATTGAATGAAAGTGATGGAAGTCTTTTTATTATATTACTTCTAATCCTCTCTAAGCGATGTTCATTTATTGGAACAAACACAACTTTCTTATTTTACTGTTTCTTGTGTATGTAAGGAAATGATAACAACTATCCACAGTGATCTGAACTTAAATTTTGAATAATTAATTTATGCAAGGGCTTAACATCTGTAAAAATATTATCTATACAGGTCGCACTAGGCTCAGCAATACGTGTTGGTTCTAAGAATAAATTAACAAGATTATACGATTTAAACAATGAGCTAAACTCAATACTAATGGAAGAAGTTTCAAAGAGATTGATGTTCAAGTCTCCACATATTACAACAGACTTGTTCTGTTTACTAAGTTTGAGTAAAACTTCTTCCACAATCCTTTCAAAATGCTCATAAGTAGCACATGGAGGTCTGTAAACACTTACAACAATGAGGTGCTCGAGCTCGACACAAGCCATTTCTACAGTTCGTTCAACAGAGAGGCTCACAATATCCTTACGGTCTTTATATAATAATGATCTATCTGCTAGTATTAAGGAGCCACCACGTAAACTTTTTTCTCTATTGAAAGAACTGACCACCTGGTGATTTCTGAAATTAAACATGAAATTATAATCTTTTAGCCAATGTTCAGTAATACAAAGGATGTGTATATTGTTACTATTTAAAAACAATTCAACTTCTAATTCTTTGCCCATCATGCCTTGTATATTTTGACGCACCAGGTGCAAACAATTTTTATTACTTATTTGTTGCATGCATTCAAAGTTACGAGTAATTAAACTCTTATTATTGCTAGAGATTGCCTCTATTGTCGCATTTACTAATTTAAATTAGTTGGAACTGATTCCAAATTAATTGTCAAATAATTATTCTGCCCAATAAAAGCAGTCTTGGTAGCCAAAAACTTGGCTGAGTTAAAAAGTAAATAATAAGATAGCACATTTGCTATCAGTCTTAAATTATATTTGGATAGGTAATACCTATCTTTTGTCCAAAACTTTTTTATTAAATTATTTATATCAACTAAATGAAATTTGTCATTATTATCATTACAATTATATGTCAAATTTAAATTGTTGTTACATATTAAATTATTCATTTGTATATTTAAATTGTCTTAGATTATTTTCCTGTGGCAATCCCTGTATGTAAGGCAGTGTGAACAAGGCAATTTTGTGTACATTTAAGTTACTAATTTGCTCAATATATCTTAATAACTGTTTGTTGTTTACACTGCCTCTTCTACCAACAAAAATTAAATGGATTGTCCAGGTGCTGGGCGACACGTACACGCAGCTGCACAGTCGCGGTGTCGAGGGCCCGCAGTACCGCGCGGTTAACACGTACACGCTGAACCCCAAGAGTCTGAGCATCGGCGAACTGTACGGCGAGGTGGAGCTGGCGACGCTGGAGTGGCACGACGGCGTGCTGCCGCTCGGGCTCCGGGCAGCCGTGCAGAGCGGCACCGAAGAGCACCAGTGGATCGTGTGCGACGGGCCCGTGGACGCCGTCTGGATCGAGAACATGAACACCGTGCTCGACGACAACAAGATGCTCTGCCTCGCCAACTCGGAGCGCATCAAGCTCACGCCCCACGTGCACATGGTGTTCGAGGTGAAGCTCGCACACTGTTCGTTACCGTTATATTCCCATAGTTGGCACGCTTGGCAAGCAGGTAGGCAACCGCAGTTTTTTTTTTATTCGTTATTAGGAAGTCGCTACTGCCCGTATCTTGATTTGTTTCCCTCAACGCCACTACACGACCACTGTTCGTATAACAAAAATATAAATTGCAGGTAGGTGTCTGTGCATTTTAGATTAATGTGAAAAAAATGATTGAGAGGGACTCAAAGTAAGTATTTAAATCATTTTTAGAATTGTCTGTCTATCTATTTGTTTCATGAACGTATCACGTCTAAAATACTAATATATTTCAATGTAACGTCCCCCCCCTCTCCTCTAGTTATATAGATATAGAAAATGAGGCCGTCTATAAAATACATATAAAATGTTTACGTGACCAGTATAATAACCATAATTGTATTGATCTTTCTCAAGGCTCATTCTAAAGGTTTAGTTGTAGGCCGATTAATAAATTTATGGCGTGATCGTCTTAATTAGGACCCTTATTTACGTTGTGTTTGTTTAGTAACTTAGTTCTTTTAGGTGTCTCTGGAAATAATAAATATTCACTAGTAAATATTCACTAGAGCAGTGGAAAGCTGTTGGTTCCCGTTCACGAAGACAGGGCTCAAAAAGGTTAAGAACATTAGATCATCCCTATTCCACTTGTATCAGGTTCACATCAGCCAAATCCATATTAATTAATCCCTTTCCGCTTGGAAAAGCTCACAATATTTATATAAAATACCAGATACAAATTTAATAAAAAAATGTGGGGTAGGCACACGACTCCACACACGCCGTGTGCGGTGAACGCAAACCAACCAATGCGCTCCTCCCGAAGGGGATGTTATGTTGGGAATTGGACCGTAGTCCACAGCAAAATAACTGTCGAATTAGTAAAAGAGAGTCCTTGCTAGTGCGAAAGCACAACCATCAACCAAAGTCGCACAGTTAATGCGTGTAAGCACCATACAGAATACGATCAAATCAAGCCACAGTAAATGTACATCACACGGTTTAGGCAACACGTCGCGTATAAAAAGGACACTGGCCATAAAAAGCCCTATGTGAGCACCACCACCTGCCAGACGTGACGTAAGTGTAAGGCATCACCACTGATTGCATGATAGCACGGCTACTGGCCGCAGAGCATGTCATGACTCTACTGCTCACCTGAAGAGAAGGGAGTCCCACGTTGAGCGGCTTTCGGCTGCAGCCTTGACAGTCTCCTCAGATTCACCCTCCAGCTACCACCCGCATGAGGTCGACATATATGTTCCATCACTCAATACATCGGCAAATATATCCAAAAAGCATAAGATAATAATAATAATTGGCCATCAGAAAGAGTTAGTGTCACTGACGTTGAGTATATGTATGCATTTTTCGATCATGTTTGTCTCACCTATCATCAAGTTGCCTTCAATCTTTCAAAGGTGGGAAATATACACAGATATGTTGTTGTTATATGTATAAAACACCATGGAGGTCAGATAGTCTGCAGCCCCGTAATGTAGGGATCCGACTTGGGCAAAGCTACTTAGGTTGTGAGTCAAACCAAGACGCAGAGAGCGCCATTCAGAATAGCGACCTGCCAAACAACCATTGCAGAGATGCAATGCTGGGAAACGCAACAAGCATCAATACGACTATTTTATTTTTATTTTATTAAAATTTGTTTACCAACAACTTATGCACTAACATCTTCCCATATAAATCAAGCGATATAGTTAAAAAAAAAACTAAGTACACAGTCAATTACAGGTAAACACCACATGCATAACTTTTATCGCGACAATTAAAAGACGAATTTATACTTATTGAATAGAAACACTGTAGTATTGCCATTATAAAATTCACTAAAACAATCTGACCAAAAACAGAGCGGCAAGGTATGGATTTACAAAATTTATAAAATTAAAAAAAAAATTAAAAATTTAAAAAAATTAAAAGATTAAAAAAGGAAATCGTCTATCGTCGGGCTTACACCATCCAAAGGTCCTTCATACAATCCACAGACAGACATCACCACCCGCATACCTCCAAACCACAAGATGCGTCGAATCGGGCGTAGCACACCCTTAGATCCATCACAAGATGCAATACCGCAAGTAGCAGTAAGCATCAATGCAACTATCATACAGATGGCGCTCTCTCACAACACACCCACTTGATCCCTATCGACTTTGGTAATAAAATTGATACTGTTGTTAACTAAAAATAGCACCAACGTAGCACGCTACTAAGGCGCCAGTAACCAAAACTACACGTATCATAGCGCTATTGTAATAAGACATGGAGTTGAATATGCTAGCTGCACTTGAAAGTACTACCAACTACATGACAACTTATCAGCTTTCAAAGATTGGTCTACTCGTTATGGAGTGTTAGTCAATCCTTTGAAATGCCAAGATATACTGGTGGGTAGCTTAAGGATGCTAGCCAAGATTAATCTTGCAGACTTACCTCCTATTTATTACAATGGAATTACAATACCGTTCAGTAAGTCTGTAAAAAATCTTGGCCTACACATTGACAGCACGCCGAATTGGAGAACTCAGGTTTACACTCACCCTAATCCGAAGGATAGCCGACGTATCATAAAACTACGCGCTAAGTCGCTGTCCACAATCGGTAGCGGTATTTCATAGAGCTTGATAATATATCTCTTTTATGTATGGGACTCTGCTATCATAATGCTAATGCATCTAAGAGACCTCCTATATTAATGCTTTTGTATTATCGACCTTACTGATAGTAAGTTCTATGATACAAAAGCATTAATAAGTCCCTAATATACAACTATAAATTGTGCAACAGTAGTGTAGTAGTGACCCTATCACCCCATATATTGCACAATGTTAGTTATGCGTCTCCGGCAACTCTTTCATATAAGCAATTATTACACGAAAACCCTCCAGTAATATAAGAACACGCTACATCATTACAAGAACATACTACATCATTACACATGATGCAGGTGGCTCAGAACCGTGCCTTGTGGCATTCATTGGGAGAGGCCAATGTTCAGCAGTGGACTTGTGAAGGGCTGTAATGATGATGACGATGAATGATATATATCCGACGATGGATGTGTATATAATAGAATAGAATCATTTTTATTTAATACAGATACATACATAATAGTTATTATAAAAGTCATTTTTTTATTTTACCACTGGTTTGAAATATGCCTCTGTCCTGGGAAGAACAAGTAAGAAACAATAAAATATTGTAAAGTTATATATGGTTAAAAAATATTTAATAAAACTTTGAAATGTTTACCGTGTAGTGGCGGTGTAAGAAAATCTACTACCCCATATCATCCCGTGGGTGTCGTAAGAGGCGGCAGTGAGAAACAAATCAGGAGAGCAACGTCTTCCTAATAACCACTAACACTAAAAAACTGCGACTGTCCCGCTTGCCAACCCGCTTGCCAAGTATGGCAACTATGACAAATATGCCCTCTATGAGGCATATGTTCAGTTGTGGACTATAATAAGCCGTAAGGATAGAACTTTGAAACATGTTAGTTGATGTGGTAGAGTCACGCTGCAGCTAAATTATGGTTAACACTAACACGGATGGATCGGCTGGATCGGGGTAGGGCCATACTCTTACAGAATACCAGCGTAAAATAGCAGCTCAATGCTACTGTTTGTGAGTGTAGAGAACCGGAGACCGTTTTAACTGGAAACGAGGCATCACATCTTAGTCCCCTGGGGTGACACCGCATCATCATTTTGATTCTTAATCAAGGATAAATGTAGATGTGTAGGACCCACTGTAACCATTGATCGTCTGGTGGACTGCGTAATTGTTTGTCCCCCTTAATCTATAAAAAAAATTTGGGGTGGTGGCGGTGGTAGGTGGGCGATCTAGCGCAGGCGTCCCCGGCGACGGTATCACGCTGCGGCATGGTGTACGTGGACCCGCACGAGCTCGGCGTGCTGCCGTACGCTCGCTCCTGGCTGCACTCTGCCACCACGCAGGGACTCTGCTCCCTGGACTCGGCGGACTTTCTGCGCGACATGTTCCTGCTGCTGCCGGACGGCCTTGACTATGTCAACAACAACTGCACCTTCGGAATACATCAGGTAACCGCTGAAGTAGTAGTAGTATATATGTTTTTAATTATTTTTTAAAAGTTACGTGTTGACGATTTAGACCGTTGGTATCGTCTGGGAGAAAAATATACTAAAAAATTTTGGTGAGCGCGTCTATACATCCGCGGGGAGCGAGATACGGGTGTCACCTCGTATAAGGTTCTAGTGCAACTGACTGTTAGCGAGGGATCATGTACTCAACGGTGCAACACCGACGTTGCAACTATACCTTCACCCTACTATAAAAATCGCAGGAAGTGCCTTCGTCCCCGTATGCACGCGTACATATTTATTATACAAAAACAACAAGTACCTACATAAGGTAAGTAACAATTTTATATGTATACTTACATACATATTTGCCATATATTAAGACTGTAGTCCTTGAGCGTGGAAACTTCTAATAGAACACCTACATTGATATTTTATAATCACACAGACGCATCGCGCAATGTTATTATACGTAGCCTGGACATGAATAAATAACTTTTAGTGCTTCGCACAAGTTACATATTCATCACGCGTTCATCTTCGTAGGATGTTTTTTTTATAGGAGAGGGGGCAAACGAGCATGCGGCACACCTGATGGTACGTGACTACTGCCGCCCATAAACAACTGCAACACCAGGGGAACCAGGGGAATTGCAGATGCGTTGCCGGCCTTTTAAAAAGCAGTAGGCTCTTTTCTTGAAGGTCCCTAAGTCGTATCGGTCTGAAAAAATCGCTGGTGGTAATCGATTCCACAAGGAAGTTATGCGAGGGAGAAAACTTCTTCTAAATCGCACAGTGGTGGACCGCCAATCATCCAGATGATATGGATGGTAACGCGAGTTCTGTCTGAAAACTTAGTTGTGATGGTGAAATTGAGCGGCTGGAATTAGTCCGAACAATTCCTCAGAGCACTCCCCGTGGTAGATGCGATAAAATACGCAAAGAGATGCAATATCTATACGCAGTTAAAGTGAGTTAAGCCGATCAGGAAGAACTCGGTTGTCGACGATTCGAACCGCTCCGCGCTGGATACGGTCAAGTGGAAAGAGCTGGCACTGAGGAGCCCCTGCGCAGAAATGGGAACAGTATTCCATGTGAGGCCGAACCTGCGCCTTGTAAAGTTGCAAGCGGTGTGCCCGCATGAAATACTGTCCCGCTCTGCTGAGCACGCCAAGCTTTTTAGAGGCCAATTTGGCCTTCTCTTCCAAGTGACCACGAAACTGCACGTCACTCAATATGTCGACACCGAGGATACCGATACTGGCTGAGGCAACAAGGGAAGTGCCTTGAAACTGAGGAGATACGACAAAGGGATTCTTTTTAGCGGTAAACGCGCAAAATTGTGTCTTCTGGGGATTGAACTGGACTAGATTTAGTCGCCCCCAGTCTGAGACTTTGTTCAACAAAGTCTTGACTTCAGACACAAGTTTGTTCCAGTAATCGGCGACATTTTCCCGAGAAATATTGGCACGGCCGGTGTATAAGGCATCACCAGACAGTGCTGTCGTCTGCATAGCAATAAATGTTAATGGTTTGCAACATATCATTGATATGCAGAAGAGACAGCGTTAGTGATAGCACGCAGCCTTGTGTAACACCAGCGTTAATGGGCTTGTAATCGGAGCATGCACCATCTACAACGACCTTGATGCTCGGATATGCAAGAAAACTGGTGATCCAATTGCACAATTTCTCGGGAAGCCCATAGGAAAGCAGTTTCGAAAGAAGCGCTTTGTTCCATACCCGATCGAAAGCCTTCGCTATGTCCAAACTAACGACCAACGCCTCCCCCTTGGACTCCACTGCTTTTGCCCATCTATGAGTTAGGTAACCTAGAAGATCACAAGCTAAGTGACCTCGACGGAAACCGTACTGGCGGTCACTAATCAGCTGGTGATCCATAAGGTACCGCATGAGCTGGCTGTTAATAATGGTTTCCATTACTTTGGGAAACAAGGAGGTGATAGCGATAGGCCTGTAGTTGGACGGATCTGAGCGATCGCCTTTTTTAGGGTGCACCAAAGCTGTCTTCCACGAGTTCAGGACTACGCCTAGGGCGTAGTAGTACCGAAAAACACGTGTTAAAATCGGTGCCGACTCCGGAGCACACGTCTTCAGCACAATAGGCGGGACTCCATCAGGTCCACTCGACTTGTTGACGTCCAGGGAGAGGAGTGCTTTACGCACCGAGCGCTGTGTAAACAGCACTTCCCGCATGGAGCACTCACACCGCGGGATGGTAGTCGGTGTATTCCCCCCGTCATCTAGAGTCGAGTTGGAAGAAAAAGAGAGACTAGCAGATCGGCTTTCTCTTTTGCATCATGGGCCAGTGAGTTGGCCACCCTGTGCAGAGATGACAGAGATGGCTGACAGAAGTTCCCTTGGATCGCGTTGGCGAGAGACGAGAATGCACGTATTCCCGAAGGGAGGCGAACTAGTTTCTCGCCAATCCTGCCGATGTGCTCTGACTTTGCCTTGGCAATGACATATTTGAAGGACCTGGAAGCGAAATTATACTTCTTTTTAAGAGCGCATATGTTTACATCCCGGGACGTTGATGCGTCAGCCCAGGCCCAGTAGCACTCCTGCTTATAGCGTGATGCTATTTTACAGGAGTGACCAAACCATTGCTGGGATCTGCCTCCGATGGGCACCACAGAGGTTGAAATAAAAATTCCATACCCTGAAGTACACATCAACAACAGAATCGGCAACAACACTGGGATCTTCCGGCGAGAAGCAAACCCCCCAAGGGTAGGATCAAAAAAAAGATCGCATCCCGTCCCAATCGGCCGACCTGTAATGCCAAACACAGCGACAACCTGCAGAACGCAACCGCGAGGAGAGCGTGAGTGGCTCCACACCCCGGATAAGACAATGGTCCGAAGAGCCGAAAGGGGCATTGACCGAAACCTGATATCCATCCGGATGAGAGGTCAGCAGAAGGTCCAATAGGGAAGGTGTATGATCCTACACATCTGGAATCCGCGTACCCATACCATATGCCAAGGCAAAGTCATAAACAGATCTCCCCGCATGATCGGTTAAACGTGAACCGAGCTATCCAGCGTGCTGGGCGTTAAAATCGCCAAGTATCACGACCTCTACGGATGGGATCTGTTGTAGCAAGAAATCTGTAGCCATCTGGACGTGTCGATGAGTCGGTCTGTGTCGGCATTACCGCTATGGGACCTATACAGGCACCCGTAGACGCGGGGATGGTCGTCGCTGTCTACGCGCAGCCAAAGGATGGACAGGTCCGTACCTTCAAGGCTGCCGAGGCGTCGAGAACAGATATCCTCTCTGACATATATGCAAACTCCAGCCCGTGGCACAAAAAACTGTTCTAATTTGTACCCCGGGTAAGACAGGTACGAAGTATGAGCCGGAGAGGACACCTGTGTCTCGGTCAAAAAGAGCAAGGCCGGCTTTGTCGTCTCTAGATGGTAATGGACAGCGTTAAGGTTGTAATGAAGTCTCCTGATATTGCAATAATTCACGGATAGCGTGAAAAGGGTCGCTTTGGTCTTATTGCTCCGCTTGCCCCGGGCAGCATTAGTCGCGAGCGGATTTTTGCCCTTCCCAGAATACGCGGGGCAGCCTAAGCACCCACGCCCAGGAGTGGAGTAGTTTGGTCGTGGATGCTCTGCGAGAGATTCTCCACGGGTGCTGGTACCATCCTTGGGTAGTGTTCTGTTCAATTCCGCTACCATGTTGATGGGGCGGGGGGGGGGGGGGGATTGGGCCTCCGGCCATCTGCACTCACCAAGCGGAACGCAGAAGTAAACTTAATTAATTAATATTAAATATTTAATTAATCACAATCGACGCCCTAGACCACAGTTAATCCACAAATTTGACGATACATTGAAAATGGGTTAGATTAAGAGTACCCTTAACCGACGAGATATATAGATTGTAAAGGAGGCGAGAAAGGTGTGTCAGGATCGTGCCAAATGCAAGTCCGTAGTCTCTGCCTACCCCTCTGGGTGACAGGAGCAAGTGTTTATGATGATTATGATTATATTACCTAAGTTACATTACCACTGTGTCCGGAAATCAATAAATATCTCTATTAATCTCACAACAGCATTTTATTGAAAACAATATGATATTCTTTATTTTTATCCTATGTCCTCTATTTAAACTTATCAAATCCTCGGAAACATAAAACAGAAGTTGGCAACCCTAATTCCAATACACGCTCCGGTGTACATGCTGCTACATTTTCCCAATGCTAGGGTTGATTACACAGATTTCCTTTAAAATCATATAAAGGCAGCTTTGCCTACCGCTCCCGTCGCGCGCCACTCTCTTTCCGATCACTCAACCCATAGAATACTGTACACAACTATGTGTTATAGTAATCTATGGCTCAACCTTTGCCATCTCCTTATCCACCTCATGTGTGTAGTCGTAGCCGTACCTGGCACAAATTACGACTACGGCTCAAGCAAAACTTGTAACAAGGTCAAACCCTAAATTAAGTTGTTTCCTTCGTGTAAGTATTAAAGTGTTTTTTTTTAAACTTTTTTACGAGGTATCATATAACAGTGCGCATGCACACCTGCACATGTATTCCTGTCCTCCTTTCCGGTAGACCGTGGTGTGTATGACCAGGGGTATGGTTCAGGTGGAGTCGAGCAAGGTGGCGGCGATGTGCCGTCTGCTGGGCAGCTTGCTGGCCGAGCCGGGCGAACGGCTGGTGGAGCGCGCGGCGCTGCGCACCTACCTGGCGCTCTGCTTCCTCTTCAGCTACGTCTGGGCCGTGGGGGGAAACCTGATTCACGAGCACCGCAGAACCTTCGAGCAGTTTGTCAAGAGACAGTTCGAGCAGTTTGAAGAAGGCGAATAGTAAGTACCATTTAAGTACCATCAATCATATTTAACCATTTTAAAAATTTTTTGCATGATTTTATCGACATCATCAAAATTGTTGATTGCATTTAAAGTAAATTCTTTCTGTGTGTATTTTTATGTAGAATTTCGAGTCAGTCATGATAAATTTTTATTTAATCAAATTAACAAACTTAATGTTGGTTAAATAAAAATTTAATATCAGTGACATAGTAAACTTTTTATCAAATGTTATTACAATAAGTTCTTATGTTTTTTTTAATATTTAATGACGTCATTTTATATAACAATTTATGTTGTTATTGTGAGAACACTATTTTTTCTTTCCAAACAATTATTAATCGCGAACCTGTGATAGCCACTTCACATTATGGAGCAAATGACTGAGCTTTCTTTCTTCATAATTTTTTTCCACGTCGCATATCGCGTGGTCATACTCAAAGTGCGAGTATGTAGTGACACTTTATGTGTGTAGTGTTGTTTGAAAATACGTGACGCTATGGCTGTGTGTGTGCAGCTGTCCGCAGGGCGTGAACCTGCTGGAGGTATTCGTGGACACGAAGGCGAGGCGGGCGAGACCCTGGGCGGAAGCGACGCCGCACTTCGTGTACAATCCTGAACGCGCGTTCTTCGACACGCTGGTGCCCACTGAGGACACCACGCGTCACTCCCACCTGCTGCACCGTTGGCTTGCTGCCACACAGCCGGTACTGCTCACTGGAGATACCGGTGCGTACCGCTTCGTTCTTATCTTTGGAGTGAAAACTTCTTTAGAATCTTTGTGATTTGAAACCTGATGAAATTAAAATGCGACACTAAAAAGATACAAACATTGAACGCTACTCTAATATTTTATAGCTCTATAAAGCTAGCAGTGAAAAGCTAATTTGTTGCTAATTAGTTGCCAAAATCGCGATTTTGTTGCTCCAATCAGTTTCGAGAAAATAGAATAACTGTTATCTTAACGTTAATGCCGGGTTTCCACGCTTGCCAAGTCTCGGCAAGCATCCACAAGCACAAGTGTGTAAAGAGGGCGTTTGGCTTGGCTTGCGTGAGCTTGTGGACGCTTGTCCCCGATCCGGGCTAGTGTCGGTTTTTGGACACAGATCAAAGGGCACTTGCGGCAAGCGCTTGCAAGGCATTCACACGTTGGTGCGCGTTTAGTAGAAATTGTGATTTCGCGACGAGCACATGTTAATTTCTTTGTTTCAAATGAGTGACTGGTCGAACGAAGAGAGTTTATCGTTTCTGGAATATTACCAGACCGAATCGTCTATCTGGAACCCCAAAGACGTTAATCATAAAAATAAAAAGAAAGTTGCAAATGCTTGTAGCGGTCTTGCAGAGTTAACAGGAAAGCCAGTAAAAGAATTAAAAGCCAAAAATTCCTTGTTTTTGTATTATTTTGCTTGTATTTCAAATAAAAGTATGTTAAACCAAACGCAACAGTCGACACACTTTCGGTGTCCGCCATGCCTGGATATACATTCAGAAGTTATTATATATTAAGATATCTTTAAGAAAAAAATTACAGATGTAATGGAAGCAGCAAGTGATAAAGAGCCAGTAACGAAATTATATTGCTTGTTGAGCTGCACCAAGTAATAGTTGCTAATAATAGTTGTACATGCTATCTTTACAAGATATTTCGTCAAGAGTAGAATTTACCACTGATATATATGATTTTCAGATAACTAGTTGTCACTCTGAGCTCTAGTTAAAACTAACACTAGAGAAACTAATTTGGGATTGAAAACAAGATATACTTACTAAATATTTATTAAAAAGATTTAGAACACAGATTCATGTTCCTAGTGAAAATAATATATATTTTTTTTACACTAAAGGAACATTTTAGGGAACGTCGACATAAATTATTTGCCAATGTGACAATATTAATTAAAAGTAAATAAAATAATCCAACAAGTCAACAGAACATAACCATAACATTTAAAAAAGGAACTGATTGTTAAGGAACATTTGTTAACATACAATAAAAATAATCAAACAACCTTAAAATTTAAACAGGATGAGGATCTATACAAACTATCGTGGCATTTTGAGTTACAAAGGTAACCATTTTTCATGCAGACACCTTTTTGTCATATATCCTTTCTTGCATATGCAGTGCATAAATCCTTAGCATATTCCTATGTCTGCTTTCTTAGCAACAGTTCTCAAAGGTAAATTTGTATTGGAACATCTTCTTCATGCAAACATTTTTCTTTGAACTTATCGAATTCTAACCTGAAAAGCACATTGAAATAGTTAGCTTTTACCTAATAGCGATATCGTTATATGATAAAACAATTAAGCAATATATAGATACATACCTGCAATATAATTTGTCCAGCATTTCATATTTCGTTGTATTTCGTGTATTGTGAAAACGCTGATCATCCTTTTGAAGAACACTCACACTCAGACTATATTACGTAGATCTGCTTTAGCTCTGTCGACATCAGGGATTTGTATAATTACATTATCACCGATTTCTTCTGGAACGTGTATTGCAACTGAAGCCAATGTTCTTCTTCTTTGTGTCGTTCTTTGACATTCTCTGGGCCTGTTTTTTTAAAGTTTTGATGTGCTGTTTATCTGGATGCGATTATTTGTCGATTCACATTTGTTATAATTTCGAGGTCTTTGTAATTTTGTGGTATTATAAGAGGCGTTACAGTCCTAGATGCTTCAGCTTCAATGTCATATTCACTGGCTTCTGCTGCGATTGGCGATTCTTCACTTATTTTGGGTGAACTTTCTGCGTCTTTTTGTTTGACCCCGGTTATAATTTGATGCTGTCCACTGCGATTAGCTACAGGCTCAGTTTTTGCATTATTTGTACTATCCGTTATATTTATTTTATTTAACAAATTTTCGAGAGTATCTTCATCTCGTATATCCTCAATAACATCTCTAGGCAATATACCAAACATTTCTTTGTATGGTGACTGTTATTTACCGCAATGAAGTGGCCGATTTTTCATAAACTGTACAAACCGAATACCATTTGACCAATTCGTAGTATCATTGTATTGCATCCATGAAGCCAACATTTTCTCTATCTCTTGTTTAGCCTTTTCAACAGATCCTTGGCTTTGACTTGGTTTTCCATAGATCAGTTTACACTCGAGCCAACATGAAACGAGGTCATTTATGACAGAATTTACAAATTCTCTGCCGTTATCGGGGTGTAAGATGCAAGGAGCACCAAATGTCAAAAATATATCAGTCAACTAATACGCCACCTCCTCGGCTCTCTTACTTTTCAGAGTACGCAACAAAACAAATTTTGTCAAACGGTCCTGATACACCATTATAAACTTAAACCCCCGATCTTCTTGAGTTTGCATGTCGATAAGATCGATTTGGCAACGGATGTAGTCGATTTCTATCACACAATAATGACTCAAACGTTGGTATCGTGTGAGATTCAAACGCATCAGCCGCGGTATCAGTAGAAAGCCACCAACGTCAACGTCAATGCAAGAGCGTACTCTTTTTTAAGAGGTCGGCAACGTACCTGCATATTTCCCTGGTGTTGCAGTTGTACATGGGTGGCAGTCACTTACCATCAGGTGAGCCACATGCTCGTTTGGCCCCACAGGTTTAAAAAAAACGTGACGTGGTCGGTTCGCAGGCGTGGGAAAAACGTGCATCGTACTGGAGGTGCTACAGCAGATGGGCGCAACGGGAGGCTGCACGCCGCTCACGCTCAACTTCTCCGCACAGACCGGCAGCCGTAGCACGCAGGTGTAAAATCCTAGAAAATACACAAAAATTGACCTCCTCAAAGTTCAAAAACTTTATTTAACAAAGTTTGTATAAAAAGGGTTATTATAATATCAAGGAATTTATGAATGATAAAAACATGCGTAAGTGTCGTGGAGCACTCGGTTGGAACGAAGTTCCTTTCATAGTATATTATTATTGATAAACGTATTATATTATTGATTAATAAATATAAATAAATTAATTATTA